ACTGATTTAGACTTTGAACAATTCAGAGTTCAAACAGCCTCCTGAAATGAATTAAGTTCAAAGTACAAGGTACCACTGTATCCCATTTGTGCCCATTACCATCACTGTAGTGGTGGTGGTAGGATCCACCCAGCTTCCCAAGTCCAGGCTGGGGCTTGCACATGGGCAAGCAATGGGAAGGGAGGCCTCTTGCCTCTCCCCTCCCCACCAGAGAAAAAGGAACATGGGTGGGGGAGCCCAGCCACTGTGTGCATCTTGCTCTTAAGGAAGGCAAGCAGAGAGGCAGTGGCAGGCAGGATCCAGCTGCACTGCTTGCCTCCTTGTGAGAAAGCAAGACCAAACGGCTGCTTCTTCCACATGGGGCCTGGAGGGGCAGTGTGCTGTGGAACTCAGTGGCTTCACCCAGGCTCCAGCCACGGCTGAAGGGGGAGCAGGAGTGTTTGTGAGCAATCCCACTCTCCCCCTCACATTGCCAGCAGTGCAGGAGAAACTGATGACAGCTATGCTTTGCCAACTATCATCAGCTATAACTGCTCTGGCCAGTTATAAGCCCTTTTAAATTTGGCTTGTCAGGGCTTAGCACGTCATCTGGCTTAATATCTCATTCACTGGAACAAGCCATGGACAAGAGTGCTGTGTTCAGATAATGCAGTAACCCATCATGATTTATATCCATGGTGTCTTACCATGTCATCCAGAGCCAATCTCTATGTTATTCTGATGAACTATCAGCTTTCAAAGAAAAACTCCTGTTTGCTAGACTCTGCCTAGTTCTAAGTTTGGTAAAATCAATTACCCAGTCTACTTCCGCAGCAAGTAGCATAGCATGTTACAGTCAGACTTAATACTCCAATTTGCTCCGGGCATTCAGAGTCCTGAGTCCATAAGCTACAAACTGCACAATAAAGATTTGTTCATGGATGGAATTTCTCCTTTATAATGGCTGGGAAGTAAACAGAGGAGAAATGTGTGCCAATTTAGGGCTAGGAAGTAAATGGAAGAGAAAGCTGTTCACCTCCATTAATAGAGCAATTAATGTAAATGCACAAATTTCCTCTTCTTTCCAATCATCACATTTGTGTACATTTTACCTCCATTTACTTCTCAGCCATTAAATTTGCCTAGATTTCTGCATTTTTGTTTTAAACTCTTGAAGATGTACAGTGCCCAATGCAGTAAGTGCACCAAAAAGGAGCTGTGAATCAGGAGGGGGGAGGCCGGGAATTAATGGACAAATTCTATCACACAACAATGTGCCCTGAGAACAGTGTACCCCATGGTGCCCCTGACACTGGGCTCATTATAGACTGTGTTCCCTCTCCTTCCCCCACAGTCCTCCAGCCGGTATCCCTGGGTCCTACATGGCAAAACTCATCCTGTTTCCTCCTGCTGTTGCAATTGTGACTCCTTTTGCAGCCACCATGACTTCCTCCACAAACACCTTTTTTGGAGATTGCTTTTTCAACTTGCAAAACACCAAACACAATCTCACAATTTTCTGGGGCAAAGAAATAAAATTAGAAATGCAATGCCAGTTACGTATTTTGAGACTCTGAACAGCAGAGAAAAAACAACAGTGACTGAAAAGGAACAGTGACTGAACACAGAGGGGGAGACAAGTTGGGTTCTGCTGCAAAGGATGTTGCAATACTGGCTGGAGAATTGGGGGAATAGGGCGAGGAAAAGCTATGGTGAGCTCAAATGTCCATCAGACATGCAAGAGTTTTTCTGGAAACAACTAACCCACCATGGCTTATTCACAGTGTAATTCAACATAATGTGCAAATGTAGCCAATGAAAGGCTCAGCATGATTATAAAACCCCAAACTGGACTAACCAGGATTACTGCAAGGAAAGGTTTGCACATTAGCATTTTTGAAATATATCCCAGAAGTCTATGAAAAACTCAATCAGATTCTAAATAAACAGTCATTGCTAGCTTTGAACTTACAACTTCATAGAAGTTTCTTTTGCAGAACGTTAAATCAATGTATGAACAAAAAACAGCCTTTACAACAGCTTTTTGTAATATTACTGAAGAACCAACATAACTAAGGCTGCAATCCTATATGGATGTATGCTGCAGTGAGTCCAACTGCGCTCAAAGGGACTTCATTATGTCTAAATATTTAAAGGAATGCACTGTTAAACTCACCAATTTGACACTAGCTTCCAAAGTATTCTAATTTTCTTTACCTTTAGCACTGCTGCTCTCATGCTTAATTACACAAGTTTTTGCTGGAATAGGCAAATAATTAACAATGTTTAAATTAGAGTTTGATTGTATTTTAAAGCAAGTATCTGGATGGCCCAATTGTTTTGGTATGGATTCTGTGCACAAACATCCAGCAGCTCTTCTTTTCTTCATTGTCTTTAACTAGTTAGTTTATTTTCAGAGCTGCTTCAATCAGTTATAGACACCGCCCTCCCCATTTCCATAGCATCATTCTGTAATATGTGAAAGGGAGACAACTATGCAAGTATACAAGAAAAACCTAACATGGGGAGCCTCACAGCAGCATCTAAAGCCTTAGAAATTCAAGGCCAGGTTACCGCAAGGACCATCTCACCCTGCATCAACCTTCCAGGCTGCAACAATCTTTAGGAAAAGTGCTACTTTCAGTGCAGCCGGCTGTAGTTTTCAGTTGGGCAGCGGCACATGGATGGGCCTTCTCTGCACTGGTGCCTGCCCTGTGGAATGGTCTTACCTCTGAAGTTTGTCAGGCCCCAACATTGCACTGTATTCTAGGTATGGCTGAAAATGAACCTGTTTACTTTGGTAAAGTGAACCTGTTTACTTTTCCCCAGCCTTCAACTATCTTTGTACCTGTCAAACAATGTTATTTTGTGTGTATACATCTCTGTGTATGTGATTTTGTTTTTATTCCTTTGTAAACTGCTTTCAGCGTAATCGTCTATAGTTATCAGTAATAATCAAAACAAAGTTATACCAGTATGACCACAACCTCTAGGTGAACATTTTCCATCCCTATGTATATATACCCATGAAGCTGCATAAAGGAATTATATCAAATGAGTGTTCCATGTCGGGGCACTGCAGCCTCTATTGTTAGTTAAATCACAGCAAGCACACTGAGATTTAACCTATCAGCCTTAATCATGAAAATAACACAGACCAAGTCAGTTTGTCCAACTACCATGTGCTTAGCATCATAGAAAAATATAAAAGTTATAGGCACATAAGTGTATATACATTGAAACAGGCAGTTTTAAAATAAATGATTGAAATATTAAATGGTATGATTTAAAAAATTAAATCTATGCCTGTTCTACATACAAAAAATATAGGTCTGTGAATAGTACCCAGTGGAAGAACGAAGAGTGTAAGTTCTAACATAACATAAATAAAAACTTGAAATCTAAGGTTTTTCAAAAGAATAAAACAATAACCCCTGTATTCACTAATGTAAATTCTGCAGTTTGGAAATTGACACTTTTAAAATAAAATTATACTGGAGAAGTATTTGCAGTTAGATGAGTTTTTCCCTTCATTTTCTTGCTACCATTTTCAAGAATAATCACATGTGGCCATCAAACTAGCTTGGTATTTTGGGAAAAAAATTACCTCCTTCGTTCAGCATCCTGCGGATCTGTTCCAGGCAAGCTGATGGTAATGGAAGAAGGGGCACCGACATCATAACGCTTTACTGTCTTCCGGCAGACTTTCACTTTCACCAAGACACTGTGCACTAGGTTAGCCAACAAGCCAACCACTGGTTGTAGGATTTCAGGGAAGAATGTGGCAAATGCAAAGTGGTCTGACATATCACCACGTCCTCTGCTGTGTCTCTGGTAAAAACGAAGATATATCCAACTGGAGAGAACCCCAAAACCATAAGAAGCCAAGACATTGCTTTCAATAAGGGTGGTCAATCTTAAAACTGCCAGGATCAAAAGCAAGAACATGGGAACAACCTTCATCCGCACCTGAGGTATCTTCAAGACAGTACTGTCACCCATGGTTTGCTTGAGGGCCACTAAGACACCACCAAGGAAACCCAACATGCCATAAATGCGAATGGTAAACAGGTAAGAGAGATTGAATGATGCCATATAGGTAAGAAGATAGGCAAATGCCCCCAGAAGTCCAACAGAAACATTCACCACTGCAAAGAAGATCAAAAGTTCCAGGGCTCCCCATAGTGGCTCCAGTAAACGTCCTGCCACAACTATAGTGGCAAGGCTCACACCTACGTTCCAGATATGTTTCTCCACAACGCTGTGGGTTGCCAACGTCCAGATCCAGAAGTTGGGTGGGAAGAGATACCCAGGTGTCACCCCAAGTCCAAACACAGTGTCCACAGCAAAAGAGAGAAGGTAGAGCAAAATGACGATGGCACAGATGGACTTCACCACTACACTGGTGCTGGCTAGTGCAGCCAGGAAATGTTGCCGAGCTACAGGAAGGTATCTGTTCATGTTTATACCCAAAAACCCTGCCTCACAAGTCAAGGTCCTTGATCCCAGAGACTTGGATTAAGGGAGAGGGAAGGATCTGGTGGGCAGGTGACCCCAGTCTTGTCTTAGCGCACATTCACTATCAACTCCATCGCTTTCTTCGGCATAACACCCAAACAGGGTTGACAGCTGCTTAAGCCACAGGCCTCTATATGTGGGGGGCCACCCTCCTCATCCAGCCTGGCCCCAAATGGAAAACATTAGCGCCCCCTGCGTCCCACCCTGCCTTGTTCCTGGACGCGCTGGATTCTACAGCGCCCTCTCCCACCAACACCCACGATACTGCTGCACCGAAAGAGGCTGGCAACGCCGAGGCTTCCTGCAGACAACGAAGTGAGACAGGCGGCGGCGGAGGCTTCACGATCACCAGACGGGGAGATGATAGCGGCGATTTTTTTTCAAGAGAGGGAGCAGTCGAACAACTCGCAGCCCCATTCAGTCCGACGGCGGGGGCGAAGGCTATCGCGGAAGGCCTATCCTCAGCCTTTCGCAGGGTTCTTTCGCAGCCGGAAGCGAAGCCTTCCTCAGCCGGCCTCTAGTGAGGCCAGCTCCCAACAGCGCTCCTCCAGTAGGCGCCCTCGCTGCCACCGCCTCTTCCTCCTCCAGGCCAGGACTCCGCTCCTCAGGGCCTCCACACAGACGCAAACAAACAGCACGACTGCGCACGCGTGGCTGTTCTGTGAGCTATCCGGTGCACGCCGGGAAATGAAGTTTCAGCTCTCGTGAATAGACAGGGCTGCCCTTCACGTAAGACTACATATCCCAGATTGCAGTGGGTTCCAGGACTTGTGCAGTGAAGCGCGAGAGCGCAGGGTGGGGACAAAGAGGAATCTGGGAGGTGGAGGAATTTGAGGGCACCGGATGGTGAGGCAGGCATGCACCGGTCAGCAGTGCCGTGGGTGTGGCTGCAGCAGAGGCCCCGCTTATGTAATGAATGCCCAGGCACGTCTGCTCCAAAGTAAGTCCCACTGAGTTCAGCGGGGCTTGACTTCAATGGGACTTACTTGCAGGTAAGGGCGCACGTAGGGCAGCAGCCTGAGTCAGTCGCTGCTGGACGGGGCGTGGCTGTTCCGGCCTAAGGCGCAATGGCCTCTGGCGAGCGGCTCAGCCCACGTAGCAAAGAGGCGTCACCCACCGAATATCCTGCCTGCCCCTCCTGCTTCCTCTGCCTCGTCACGGTCGCCGCTGGGGGCAGCCCCTGTTGGCCGGGAAAGCCTCGGTCGTGCCGCTTGGGAGGGACCCATCTCGAGCAACAGTTGGTGACGGGGTCCTGGAGGACCCCTCGAAAGCCTCTCATGCGGGCAACACGAGGGCGGCCTGGAGGGGATTCCTTGGGGAGCGGGAGGCGGGCAAGGGCAGCTCGCACGGAGTTCCCTCCAGAGGCGCCTCACTCCCGGGGACAGCAAAGAGTTTCCTGGCACCTTAAAAGCTAGCACGTGTATTCGGGCATGGGCATAAGTTTTCGGGAGACTGCAGCCTATTTCATCAGATGTATGGAGCAGTAGTATGGACATTTTCAGGTTTCTTTTAAATATAGTGCGTCAGGTGTAGAAGGTCAGAAGAAAATTCAGTGAGGAAAGAGAACCCCTTTATTAACCGTGGTCATTTATACTGTCGTGGTTGCTTATAACAAACATTTTACACAGTTATCACAAGTAGTGAATGTCACTAACAGTCCCTTCTGCTTTGAATTTCCTTCTGATCTCACAGATTTACCATTTTCCGTCGCCCAGCGGATTTACTATATTCTCTCCGTAATACTTAATACATCTGATGAAAAGTACTGTAATTCACAAAAGCTGATGGCAGAATAAATCAGTCTTTAAAATGCTGTAAGACTCTGTGTTGGTTTTGCTGCAATAGGCTAACATGGCTACCCTCGAACTCATTCCCAAGGATAAGTGCAATCCACACTAAGAAAAGTGAGAAATTTTATAATGGAGCTACTGTATTAAATTCTTTGTTATTCATAAAAACGATGTGTTTCCCAGTATGCCTTTTGAATGTCTGTTACTTACGCAGTTTGGGGCAAACTTTCTTGGCAGTAAGCCTAACGAAACTCAGTGAAACATAACTTTTGTGTAAATGTAGGATTGAGTTGCAAAAAATACAGGAGCTGGCTTTCAAGAGGGTAATTCCAAATTTCATTTGTATCTGTAAGACATGGTAAGTGAAACCACAACAGTTTCAGGCTGGTGGGGAAAAATGGGATCAAGAGTGCTTTGCTGCTGTGCTGTTATCTCCAGATTTGGCAATTTTATCTCCAACCCTGGCATTTGCCCCCGTTTTTAAATTAGTGCCTTTAGTTTCAGAACAATAGAGTACTCTTGAATCCGGTGAACCTTAGAGCAAGCACCATATGGGGGGGGGGGGCGGGTGGAGATGGTAAAAAGAAAACCTATTTTACAGCTATAAGTAGTTATGCTTTTTTTGTACAATCTAGGCAGAGGTGGGGAAAAATAGCCTGGGAAGGAGCTGTGCTGTCAAATGAAACAGGAGCAGGGTTAAACAACCCCTCTCAGTCTTCCCTGCTGTAGGCTTGGTGCTGTGTCCTGAGCAAGATTCATGGGTTCTCAGTATGCAGATATCCCTTCTATTTCAGTTATTCTTGATAATGTAATTGCCCCCTGGTGGGCAGAATGGTGATTGAAAATGTGTGTGTTTGTGTTGTAGAATGGAATAGAATGCAAAAATTTGCATGTCTTAAATATGCCTGTGTTTTCTATCATTTGAGGAGGAAGGGGAAAGAACATTTCTGAGCTACTTTGTAAAATTGCTTATTAAAAGAGATGGAAAATTCTGGTTCTAGCTCACTGTAGGAATGTAAATGTGAATACCCACACAGTGTGTTTGCTGATTATTCTTTCACAAAGAGGATGTGCCAAAGAGATTGTTAAAGCAAAGGTGAATAATAATTTGGTTTGTCAACTTCTAGAAAAGCACAGTAAGACATGTAATGTAAACAGCAATCAACAAAGAGTCTTTTGGAAGTTTTAAAACAAATAGAACTATTATGACTTAAGTTTTTGTTGATTGGAGCCTACTTTGTCCATGAAGCATAGTTCATGCTACAAGACTGCTCATTCAGCTGCAAGAGACTTAATACAGCTACTTCTCTGGAAGTTTAAAAAAGAAGTTGAATTCTTCTTCACTGATCCAAAATCTCTCTCCCCCCCCCCACCCCAAAGACTGGATTAGCCAGCATTCTGTGTCCCTTGCCCTTCTCTTGTGTCTCTGAGAGTTATTAGCCGGAGGAAAAGTATCTTTTCATTCAACAGGAGAAAAGTGGGTACATTCTCTATATTGTGGCAAATTGCATACATTGTGCATGACACTAGGGGATATTATGTAGGTTTCAGTCTGTTCTGGAGCTGTTGTATTCTGTATAGTAAAATTTAACACATAATGTCCTTGGAACATCCAAACCACTTCATATACATTATTTCAGTTTAGTTATATGGGTGTTCAAGAGGAAGGTAGCTGACAAGTGTATATGCCCCAGAATTTGCTTCATCACAGGCTTCCTGAGTCCTTTAACTGAGTCATATTCTTCCATTATTAAACAATTGCATCTCCTTCAGCCCCTGACCAGCAAGGGTTTAGATTGTCTGCTAGTACATGCTATGTGCAAAGAGAGCTCTCCAGAGTAGCTCCTTCTGATTTATCACTTGCTCTTTCAATTATTCAGCTATCATAATTTAAAGCAGTATGGTGTGTATGTGTACGAATGAAGCACTGAGGTGAAGTGATGAATTGCAACCTGTAACAAGTGAAAAGGAAAAAAAGCCTAAATGGCCAGGATATGGCTGCTTAATACTGTGGTACCTCGGCTCACGAACACTTCCACAATTCTGGTCATGACCCAAATTGGTCGCGAGCCAAGTCAAATTCCCCCATAAGGTTCAATGTAAATAAGGTGCATTCATTCTGTAAATATATTTTTAATCACATAAATTTGAAACAAAGTAACAAAGTAGGGTACAGTAAACACTAACCTGGGGGGCGAGGTTATTGTTTGGAGGGAGAGTCCAAACTATAATCGTGTGATAGCGATTGTGCTCAGGAGGGGGGAGATGGCCGCGATCATGATCATTCTTGTGCAGGGAAGACAGGCGGATTGTGATCATGCTCAGAGGGGGGAGGGGAGATGGCTGTGATTGTGCTTGTGCTGGGAAGACGGCGCGATCATGGTCATCAGCTGATGTGGAGTTCGCAACCTGAGGCAAAATTTTTCCAAAATTTCTGTTTGCAGCTCGATTTGGTTGTGAACTGAGGTGTTTGTGAGCTGAGGTACCACTGTACTTGGAATCTGGATATATTTCATGCCACTCCTTAGTCAACAAAACATTCAACAGCTGGTATGAAGACAGCTGAAAAAATCTTTCCACCTTCCCTGAAATGTCTTTCAGTTGCACCTGGCTCAGTTGGCCATGTACCTTTGATCAAACAAATGTTGTGCATTACAGCAATAATCAGGTACGTAGGATATCTAGCTGCACAGGCTTTTTTTTTTTTTGCAGTAGCTTTTGTCCAATAAAATGCCTTAAAGGTCTGTGACCTGAGTTATTTCCTGAAACTTTTCCTTGTTTGTTGCACTCAAGTTCTGCATAAATGAGGAGGAGGAGCTGCATTTTCTAAGCACTGAGACCATCATGCTCTCTACTTGAAAAACGTGTTTCTGCCAGAGCACTGAGCACCTGTTCAGTCATGTTTATAATACTGGTTACAGGCTTCACTACACAAATGTGCCTGTACCATTATGTGTATTTTTAAGTCTTTTGTTTTTTTTAGTATAATTTGGAGATAATGTAGACTTTAGCAGAATTACTTCACTCCACAAGTACAAACCAAACACACACACTTCCCCTTCTTTCATTCTTTATTGAAAAAATTAGCAAAGCTGCCATCATTCACAACAGCAGTACTCTACTGTTCTATGAACCTTTTTAGCATTGCTTAATTCACATGTATGCTGTTCTTTGGCGCACGGGGTCCTCCAAGTAGTGAACAGCATTACTTGCTCGTTTGTAGTTTATGGGATAGGCAGTCTCATGTTTTGGGACTGCAGCTCCCATAATCCCTGGCCATTGGCTATGCTGGCTTTATAGGAAGCAGTCCAAGAACTTGGAACTGCAGTTTGCCTACTTTGTCCTTGTGTTTGTTTTATGGCAGTCCTGTAGTGGTTTGCTTTGCTGTCTTAACTAGGCCTGCATTGATAATACCAATTCAGTATCTGTCACATTAGTATTTACGCCCATTCTAATAGCATCTTAGACGTCAACCCTGTATGTTCAGGATGTGTTTTTACTGTGCAAATAGAGTGCCAGTTAATGGCCTGGTGGAAGAGACAATCTGCAGGACTTGCCTTGAATGGAGATTTATTTTTGAGACTCATTGAAGAAGGTACAATGTATTGAATCCAGACTCACTGGATCCTTCTGACAGTCTGGAAGAGGTGGCTGTGAACTTGATGAGGTCCCTTTATCCTTTCCAGGTACCAATGGCTTGAGTCTCTTCTTGTATGTTTAAGCTCATGAGAATCTTGCTACTGGCTTCAGCAATGGATAAATGGGTTTCTTGGTCATGTCTGACATTAATCCAAATGATGCCACCAAGTGCTGGATTTGAGTAATTCTAATTAATCCCTTTTCTTACATTCCACTATAGAAGCCATACTATTGGAGGACAAAGATGCCTTCAAGATATTGCTGAGCCATCCTTCACACCTGATAAAGCATTGCCAAGCTTAGATGGTCACCACATACAAAAAGTCACGTTGAATCAGACCAGTGGCCCGTTAAGCCCAGCCTTCTGTTCACACCATCTCAAAGCAACTTCCCTCAGGATGCCGCAAGCAAGCCATGAGTGCACAGGCCGCTCCTGTCCAAGTTCCCCTGCCACAGATGTCATACCCATGGATAGCCCTCTCCTCCATGCATTTGTCTAATTCCTTTTAAAGCTGCCCAAATCTGTAGCCAAATCTATCTATAATGCCTGGAAGTTAATTCCATTGTGTAACTATGTGCCTTGTGAGGAAGTACTATGCTTTTCCCTGCTTTTCCCACCAATCAGCTTTATGGGATGACCCCAGTTTCCAATATTATGGGGAGAGAGAAAAATGTCTGCACAATGAACTAGCTTTCTATAGTGTAAATTAAAGTGTTTGCTATATATTTATTTAATATACAGAATCAATATATTTAATCATTGTGAGGGAGAAAGGGAGAAAATTGATACGAGGTCTCAGAACTGTGATCAGGGGCAGTTGCTTAATTTAAAAATAATTTTAGGATTTTAAGACTAATTGAATGAAAAAGAGCGATGCACATTTCTGCAGAGATCCCAGGAAGTTCCCTCAACCACAGCCCAAGAACAATCACTGCACCCCCGGGGTGGCCCATCCCTTTATTTCCTATTTCTCCCACCCAGAAGCCCTTCCATGTGACACCCCTCCTCCAGCCTCTCCTTCTTGGAATTGAAAAGGAGCCTCTTGTAGTTGAGCCAAGGAGCTTTCCTCAGCATGCCCTCAGCACTCTCGCTGACAAGCACAAAGGGACTCAGCTCCTGGATGCTGGGTGTTTTGCCACAATACACATTACTTTGAATTGCATTTGCCATTTTGATGCCCATGCTTCCTCCATGGGGAGAATTTACCATTTATCCCTACTCTTCACTTAATATTCTCTAAACTGTTACTGATCCGTAAGAGGACGTGTCTTCTTACTCCATGACTGCTAAGTTTGCTGAGGAGTCTTTATTGAGGGACTTTGTCAAACTCCTCTTGGAAATCTCAAGCAAGTTACATCTGCTAGATCATCTCTGCCACATGTCTATTGGAACTCTGAACCCTGAAAGATTAATGAGACCGAACTTACCTTTGCAGAAGAAATATTGATTCCTTTTCAGCAGGGCTTGCCCTTCTGTATGCTTACTAATTCTTTCTTTGATAACAGTTTCAACCAATTAACCCAGAACGGACATTACATTAACTGGCCAGTTAATTTCCCCCACATCCTTTTTTTTTTTTTTAAGAAAAGGTGTTGCATTGGCTATACTATAGTCTTTTGATACAGAGGCTATCTTAGGGACATGTTACACATTTTTGTAAGATGATCAGCAATTTCATATTTGAGCTCTAGGACTCTTAAGAACTCTAAGATGGATACCATGTGGGTTTAGTGATTTATTAACTTTCAGTTATTGATAAAGTTGAAAATTTTGACTTTTGTCCCTACTACCTGCCTTAGTTCCTCAGACTCTCTTCCTGAATACACAATTTTGGGAACAGGAATCAGTCCTGTTTCCTTTGCTGTGAAGACAAATGACAAGAATTCATTCAGCTTCTCTGCAGTCTTCTTTAGCACACCGTAACCCTATTATCATCCAGTGCTCCAGCTGTCTCTCTAGCTGGTTTCATGCTTCTGATATATGTAAACAATTTTTTTGCTGGCCTTGATGTTGTTACCGATACCTCCTCAAAATGCCACTTTGCTTCTCTGATCAGTTTGCATCTTCCTTGTGCAAGATTGTGCTGCTTTTCCTCATTTGGACAAAACTTCCATTTTCTGAAGAACACCTTTTCTCCATTAGCTTTCTTGACACTTCCTTTTTACCAATTCCCACATTCTAGAAAAGTTTCCTCTTTTGAAGTCAAACATGTCTCTGTTGGACTTCTTTGGCAATCTTCCCCTTAAATGTATATTAAAGTGATCCTGATTTTCCGCATTCCCATCTGTAGGTGGCTGGACAGGGAAACTATAAAGCGGAAAGCATTTGTTCCATTCGCAGCTCCCAAAAGCAGGCCATCAGTGTATTTCAAATGGGTAACATAGGTCTGTGTGGAGAAGTGAGCTGCAAGGCTGATAATATTTGAACAGTAGCACCATACATAGCATAGCTTCTCTTCTGGGATATATTGCAATTATCTCCTCCAAGCAATGCTTTCTGGGAATGCCAATATGTACATTTAATTTTAAACTCCTATCCTTATATGTTCACCGGTCTGTTTCTGAGAGCAGTCATGCTTGGCATGTCTGTTTAGAAAAGCTCAAATTCTGAAGTTCTGGGCAACTCTTCCGTGATTTAATTGGAGGCCAGTGAGGCCAGTAAACCCTCGGCACTTGCCTGTTTCTGCCAGCACAGTCAGGTAGGGAGGAAGGAAGGGAAGGTTCACCTGAAAAGCTGGCTTGGGATCCCCTGGGAGGTGGGAGCTGGAGACCAAAAGAGCCTCTGGTGTTCTCTTGCCTTCTCCTTCTCTGTCTGTATTTTTAAAATTTCTTCTTACCTGCTCTGATTACAAAGCAGGCCATTAACCCCACATCTGTTCACCAAGGGTAAAGGAAAACATTAGCCTTAGAGAGGAGTGCCATCTAATTCATCCCTTTTATTTCTGTGAAAGAAGCTGCCTTTTCATGCATGGATTCAAGAATACTTACGTATTTCCACCACTTGCTGGTGTCAATTAACCTCTCTGTAGGGGTTAATTAACCAACACAAATAAAACCATCTCCAGATCAAAAGTGGGACTGACAGAGGACTGGGAGAGAATCTCCACCCAGTTCAAAAAGTAGACCAGAGCTTGAAATAGAACCCTGGAGCCCTTTCAGATCAAGTTAAGACCAAGGCTCTATTTATTCTTAATATTTTCCACCTCATTATGATTGTTGCATGAGAAATCTGGAGCAATACATATGAGAATGATAGGAAAGGATGGCACCTGCCCAACTCACACCTTTATAAACCAGTAAAAGAGCCACTGCATTTGAAGTGAAAATATGAACATTATTTAATAACTGATCCTCTGTAATAAACAATTTGAAAATATTTTACAAGGAATCACACACACAATATTTTACAAAGATTTTAGTCTTTTTTAAATTTCCAACTCTTCTGTACAAAAAAAAATTAAAATAATAATAAAAAAACTTCTGAATTATCGGAAAGAAAACTTTTCAGATGAAGGATGAGAGGAATAGGATTCTAGCAGCTGTAAAAACCGCTACTTGCTGTTTTGTTTTTTTCTTTAGTTTTTTAACTTAAAATATAATATATATATATATTTATAGTTATGTATATTTCTTTTTTTCTTCATTTTTCTCAAATGAGCAGCACCTGACTAGACTACAGATTTACACACACTCCTGGTAACACAGAGCCAGCCATCTGGTCAAAGCACAGTTCCCATAGACATAACCAAACACACACTGAAAAAGCTACAAGCAAAATGACCTTTAATTAACCTTGCCATTGTTAATGATTCACCTCCCTGCCCCCTTTGCTCTGGAGTCAAAGTTCCAACACTGTCAGGTTCCTAGACCTCTTCTCCCTTCCTCACCCTCCTACCCTACCACTAATGGCTTTGCTCAAGTAGGTTTTTGAGTGGGCTAAGTGTGTTGACTCCTTACTACTTTTTGCCATTAACCTCGCATGAGAACAGACTGGCGCTCTGGAAAGGCTGAGCCCAGCCATCACCCAGTTCTTTCAGATTAGCTGGAAGAAGTGTCCCTAGATGGGACTGACCAGTGCTTTCACCAGCTGCTTCTAACTACACACTTCTCCAAATCCGCTGCTTCCTGGAGACTCCAACCATGTGCAGCTTCATTCTCTCACACTACTGACTGTCCTCTAGAATTCAGGAAATCAGCTTGACACCAAGTCCATGGCTGCAAAATGCCCTCCCTCAGCTATTTCTGTAAGTCTGTCTTTGCTTATGCCAGATATTCTGCTTCTTCAAGTCAATATTCTTTTGAATTTCTCCCATTTAATGCTATTTTGCTTCATTTCCAGAAACCTTTCTCTTCTGAAGAGCTTGAGAAAATATTGCCATTCCATTTCTAGTATACAGAGTGGAGGCAAGGTGCAGCAATCTGTTCACCCTGGGTTGCAGTCAGAACTTTAAAGGAGCTATGCAGGTCGCTGAACCCAATCTACAACACTGATTTAGCAGCAAGGATAGCTGCTTAAAAGTTCAGATTGCAAGCCAAAGTTGATACCTCCCCACCCAAGATTGGAACACCAGCTTTCGTTGGCTACAGGGTCATTCAGCACATTCTGAAAGGCCACCCCTCTCCTTCAGTTGGAAATAAAAAGGTCAAAACGCAAAAGCCAAACTCTGGGTTTCCATCCCCACCTCAGCACCATCTCCACCTGCCTCCAGTGGGCAAAGCTAATAAGGGAACTGGAGGAAGGCTAAATGATCCAGGGGTCTGGCTGTTGGGGCCATAGCTCAGAGCATTGGGACACTAGGCTCTCCTTCAGCTAACACAAGCTGTGCTGGGAATGGGCTTTTCAGCCTCATTTTTGGTTCTGAATAGATGGATCTGCTAGGTACACTTATGCATTGTACATCTGAAGATCTCAGTATTAAAAGGCAAACGTCACTACTGTAGCAGGGGACTGACCAAGGTATTTGTTTCCATTGCCAGATTTGCACATACTGCAATGCCATCAGCTCATGCACAAACACCAATCGTTCAACAACAAATGAAAAACCTGAAAAGAAAAGACCTGCTTGGATTAAAAACAGGATCACATTTTCTCATTTTAGGGAATAGTTCACCATCCAAATACTTGCCCTCTTTGGCTCTGAAACCCAGAGAAACAAGGCCTTTTTCAGTCTTTTGACTGCTGTGAAAAATATGAAGAAAGGGTATTGTTCAGAGGGAGGAGGAATAGGAAAGGGAGACCTTTCAGCCCAGCTCCTTTAAGACTTAGCCCATTATTATTTGAACAAGGCTTCCAAAGACATCACGAGGGAAAGGAGTTGGCAGCAAGGCAACATGCCCATCACGTCTGGTTCTGTGACTGGCCAGTCAAGAGACTGCATCCCTCTGATGCCCAGGTGTGATTGAGGAAGTGCTAAAAGTGGGAAATATGCCATGTTGCCATCTCTGCTCTGCCTGGTGTTGGACTATGTGGACATCTTCCATCGCCAGGGCTCTCCGTTCAGCAGTCTTCATTTCCCACTGAAAGGGAGACCAAAGTCAGGTGCTGAGAAAGTGTAATGCTGACATGAGGATAGATACGCTATAGGGAAATAGAGAAACAGACACAGCTTTTACTGGATAATTCATCTTCCTTCTCTCGGGAGGTTTAACACACTGCAACTTCAGTTGAAGAGAAGCCTTAGCCATTAGCAAGGATTAATTGACATTCCTAAATTACAAGCAAAGCAGAGGTGTGGGCAGCTGTCTTTACAACCAAAGCAAGTCATTGAGAGGCTGCCTAATTTGCACCTTGTAATGTTGAACAGCTGCAGCTCTGTTGCAATTAGAATGGATCTTCAGTTGCTCTTCCATTGGCAGTCTTCACTATAGCTGGCCTTGCCCTCCCATTACAACCCTTGGTGTGAAAACTAGGATCCATACAGATGTATATAATTTCATTGCTGACCACTTGTGGAAGCACACTCATTGTGTTTTGTTCAGATGTATTCATTTCTCCCAGAATGAGCTCGGGGAAACTCCGTTCTGTGTAGTGGCATCAGAAGCTGCCTGTGTCTAGCTGAAACTTAGGATGCGGTGAATGTTTTTCCACATTTAAAACAATTCTGATTTTGTGGGGTTTTTTTTTAAAGGGATGAATGCACATTTAAGTCTATAAATGTACGTGAAGTTCTATGAGACCTTTTGAAAAGGTGCAGGAAAGTCAAGCCCAAGGATGGATTTAGTGCTGTGACAAGTGGCACATGTGCCGTCCTGGAATCAAAGGGGGGGGGGGAGCAAGCACACCTGAAAGGAAGAAAAGCCAGGCAAGTGAATGGCTGTTTGTGCAGATTATGGAGCCACAGCAGCTAGACTTTTCCCCTTTTTTTGTCCAGTGCTTGGGCTTGGGAGGACTAAGTCAGACTTGATAGCACTGCTGCTATTTTATATGAATGTCAGACTGACACATTGCCAGTTTCTGATGAGGCTTTGTTAGGTGCATACAGGTTTCAAAACAAAGTTCTCCAAGACCATCACATTCAAACACTAGCAAAGACGTCATCAATGGATGTTAAACTGGGTTTTAAGTGATTCTGCGTCAGCCAAAACAACCAAGTCTCACGGCTGTCCAAAATGTGGGTATCCATACGGCCAGTGTGGTAAGGTATTCGGAAGCAGGGAAGGGCCATTCTGCAAAACCAGCTCTCCCTGCACAGATGCTGAGCACGGCAGGCCCTCTGCCATCTCCCGAGAAGTGCCTCGGCTCTGAGCTCCAGCTTTCTTCACCTGGCTTTTCTACATCTGTTATTAATGAGGTACACCCTATGAATGGTGGTTCCAGAGCACTAGCCAAACAGTCACAGACAAAATGGCATAAGAGAGACTGGTTTAAGTCAGACTAAACTGGGATGAACCTGGGGTATTTCAGCCAAGCACACTACAGACAAGTTGCCCACATCACAAAACAATCACACAATTTGGCACAATTTGGCAACCTCCGCTCAGGAGAGGCCCATGAGATCCTGGGGGTGTTTACAAAACCAGTACACAAGATTATTACTGGGAGTATGCTCAAGGAATAATGATACTCTCTACAGAATGTCAGGTAGAGTTAGTTATTTATATCTCCCCAGTTTACATCTCTAGAGATTGATACAAGCCCAATGAAGCAAAACTATTACCCTTAGCACCAGTGGTATTTCATTGTATACATATGCCTGCTGGAAAAAACAGAGACTAGGAAGAAAAGCCTTTTCAGCTGCTGATCTGAGACACAGGATTTCAGTTGTGGTTAGAGAGGGAACACACAGAGAGAGGAATTGGGATGAAGTTAGCTTTAGAGGGATTAAAAAACCTAGTTCCTTCCTCGTCTCCTGAACAAGCAGCACCGGAATGAAAGCATGCGCATCACAGCACGTGCACCAAAGGTCTACTTCTAGATCACTGAAATACTTTTTTCTACATCGGACAGTTCCCAGTTGGATTTGTAGTACACTGTCATTTATTAAAGCAGTGACCTGATATGACCTCTTCTTGATCAAGCCAGACCAGGACCAGTATCCTTTTCTGTAAGGATACATTTCCATGACATGCTTTGGGACAATTTGGGCCCATGTCAGTCTCCCAAGATGTACCAAATTTTAGGGGTGCATTTGCCTTGCAATGAAACACAGTTGTAGGGTAGCTACAAGTCTACAGAGTCTGCATCACACTTGTGATGTCAGAATGGTACCTTTCCTCCTCCCCCCTTTTTTGCAGGAGGTTTTCCCCCAAACTACTGGTTTTCGTACTAAAGATCAAGAGACACACTGTAACTGGTTAATTGAACTGGGTTGCTTTCTTTGCTTTCCAGCTTACAGATTCAAATGACTTGTTTTGCATTCTGGATTTCCTTGTAACAAAGCAAATGAAATTGGTAACACTTGAATTATTTGTTACAGGTAGTATGCCACTGTTTGGATTAATTATCTTGAACAGACTTTTGTTTGAGGAAAAGAGCAGGTGAAGTTGAAATGAAGCACACATTTGTGCACAGCATGTCAAAAGGCTACCATAAGCCACACCAAATCACATTGAGCTGCAAGGACAGTACATCCCAATTACAGATGTAGCAATTAACTGCTTCCCACTGATGATGTTGCATCACACTGTGTTGTACACTGCTGCAGTTCTTCACGTAGCCCGGAAGTGAATCTCAGCTTGTGGTTCTCACATCACATAAAGCAGAAACAAGAGAAGATCCTTCCCACGTTGCTGGTTGCAGTGTCAACGCACTGGGACATTTGGCTAAAGAGAAGGAAACTTTGGAGTTGCCTAGGGACTAAAAGCCTTCCAGTTTCTACCAAACAGCAATGTACATTTATGATTATGTGCACAAGTAACAGGCACAAAGGCTAGTGACTTGCCCAAGGCAAGTCCAACCAACACGCAGCTTTTGAGGAGAGTGGCTGATACAGTTTAGCTTTACTCTTGGTTTCAAATCTGCCATAGATTGTCTAGCTGCTGTCAATAATGCTCAATTCAGACATGGAATGTGTGCCGGACGAGTTATCCGATGTGTTCCTTCGACTCGGGCTGAGCAGCAAGTGCCATCATAACCTTGCACTATGCTGGTAACCTGCAAAGTACTTAGGCAGTGACGGTGATGGGAAGTGGCTGCTTTTAGAGGCCCCACTTGTGCTGCCTTCACCATCACATAAATTCCAGGTCTGGAAAACTGGAGAGCATTATAAAGGTACAGTGAGGCTTCTGCACAACATCCAGGAAGAAAACCTTTGGCTATCACCTTCTCAGTTGACTTTGGCACAGAGGCTGCTGCCAGTGTAGTGGACAATCTCCTTTAGAAGAAGAGGGACCATGTGAACCAGAAAGGTAATCTTTGTCTTGGCCTTGTCCATGGTTGGCCCATCTCGGGAACATCACTGCAGAAGTCAAGTCTTCACAGTGGTCTGGGGAGCAGGATAAATCATCTTGTTTTCTTGATTGCCTCACACACTTTTGGACCTGGTAAGGAATGACTGGAGCCAGGGACTGCTGGGGTTCTGCCATGTTGATTGTCCACTAGAATGACTCTTTCTTGCTATTCATTTTACCAAAGACAGTAAAAGCCACTGTATCCTCCAATCATGCATAAGTTACAAGAATGCTTTGTTCACACATTTCATTCTCCCCTGCTTGCTTTCCAAGTCCTTTAAGTAGGGAGTTAATTGGTTTAAATAAATAATACCAAAATTCAAGTCAAATCCTTTTTTTTTCTTTGTGTCTTTGTTGCTGACAATAAATACTATAATTTGTCAGACTAAGATGCTTAGAAGTTAAATGTAGAAAGATCTAGATTAAAATCTTCAGGCTAAAAATAATTCAAAATTGGTTTGGGATGGGATCTAATTAATGAGAAACTCAGCAGCGATGGCCTTGGAAAGCACAGAGTGGACTGGGTGGAATGGAGATGCTGCGGTGACATCCTAGGATCACTTTGAATTGGACAAGCCAGTGGAATTGTCTGAAAGGTTAACTAGACTACAGATTCAGTTTGGCAAGATATGCCAGTTTTTTCTGCTCTATTGGTTTTTGTTGCTGCTGCTTCTGTTTTGCATGATTGGAATGGGAAGGTAAATTGTTTTAAACACAACAGTAATTTGTCAGGACTGTTGATTAAATACTTTTAAGACAATAGAATAATGAGAAATCTTTTGATGAACATTGGCAAAGGTCTCCCAGGATTCCACAGATTTGGTGGGGGAAAGCCACGAGGCTGCTGTTCTTTGCTTTTGGCCAACAGCTCAATGGATGGAGCAGGGAGCAAGGAATCAAAGCTCAGGGCTGTTCACTCTGTGGGAAGGTCGCGATGGCTCTTGCTTCCCCAAGTCTTGCTCAGAGCTCTGTGCTTGCACAACCTGCTGTGCAGAGACACTGGAAGGGCACGGAGAGGATAAGGGAAAAGGAGAAGCAAATAATGAGAAGAGCTTCTGGACTTCTGAGCGAAGAAAGATGTTCCTCATGAGCGAGTGCTCAGGTATAACTAGAGTTGATGGGACAAGGCAGCTGCCCTCCTCTGACAAGTCTGGAGGGGGATGGAGATGGTGCATAAAGCAAACATGGATGGGCTAGAACTCAATGAATGTTTCAAAGGCAAGGCGCCAAGGGCAGCGGGTGGCGACTGGCAGTCAAGTAGAGGAGGAGCAGCTGCAGAGATAACAAGATACTCAAAGAAGGTCTATAGGAAACCCCTCTGCCACAATCCGAGGTGTTTTCCTGTGGAAACAAAAGTGAGAAATTTCTGCGTCATCCTCTGCATGGTCAGAGCCTATTACTTCTGACGCTACACCCATTGTAAGGCATTTTTCCTTTGCAAGGAAAAGGCTGTTTTATCATCAACTCAGTCTTCTCTGCAAAACATTTCTCTCCTGCAGTACCCTAGGGCCCAGTTCTGCATGGTGCAATTCAAATGCCTGGGAATTAGTTCTGAACATATTCACAGAGTTTCTATAGAGGCAGGGAAGGAAACTGTTCCTTAAAGAAAAATGACTGAAGCATGTTGGGATAAAGAGGACATCCAGCTCATTTTCTTTTAGGAAGAGCTGCTAAAAAGTCCTTTTGAATGGAGTCACTGTTTACAGGCCTATTACAAGTTTTGCCACTGAAAATGGAAGATCGGAGCTCTTTCTCCTTTCCAACATCCTAGCCAAGTTTCCTGAGGAAGTGTAAGATCCTTTTCTTTACAGTCAGTGTGGTGTGGCAGTTAGCAGGACTGGGACGGGGGGTGGGGGGGTGGGTACAGGCTCCACTCCCCAGAAAGCTCACTGGGAATTTTGGGCCAATCACTAGCTCTCAGCCCAACCCACCATATCGGATTATTGTGAATAAAATGAAGATGAGGAGAATCAGGTGCACTGCCTTGGGCTCCTTGGAGGAAAGGTGGGATATCAATTAACTAGTACATAAATATTGGAATGGGATTTGCAAGGAACATCAAACTTTCCTTGCATCAGATTTGAGCACTTCTTCAAGATGGGCTCATGAGCTAGTGCTCCAGCTTGCCATTTTGAGGGTGAACTGACTGGTTCTCTGTACCACTAGAATGGTTGGACAAGGGAGCTCCTGTAGGCTGTTTCAGCCCTTGGCTTCCCAGATCCCAGGGTATCCTTTCCCTAGAGAAAAGTCACTTCAGGTATTCCCAGGCGCTCCTTACGCTCATAAGGTAGTATTTTCTTCCACGTACCGTTTTATTGTAGTCAAAACAGACATGTGGACCTTTTCGATACCGTGGCTTCTCTACTAGTTCACATTGGTTGCGATCTCCCGGTGGGGCTTTCCGTTGTCAAGGAAATTATCATGAAATAGAGAAATGTCTTAATTTGTTTAAAATCGTACAGCTGAGAAATACCATGCAAACTGAGCTTTTCATAAATGTCTGCTAGCATTTCAGGCAGCAAGGTTCACCCTCCAGAACTGTGAGGGCCGGTCAGTTTCAAGCTGGGTCTGCAGCAAGTTGTGGGGTGGGCTGATCCAGCCACCCAGATATGCCAGTCCCCCACCCCTCAACATTTCCCATTTCCCCCTTCAGTCAGCCAGCACTCTGAGTTTCCTCAGTCCTTGCTGGGCTCTTTGAGTCCCCTTTCCTGTCTTCAGTTTTGTTGGGGGAAAGCCCTTCTTTAAGCCCTGGTGGGTCCTGATCCCTCCCCTCTTGTGTGTGGGTGGAGTACATAATGCCTGGCACAAGAAGAATTGGCTTTACTACTTCTCATAAACATTACAAATGGCAGTGTTATAACTTCAGAAGCCACTGCTCTAGGAAGGAAGAAGTATGGAAGTGCTCCTCTGTGAATACGTCTCCTTTCAGTGTGTTTCTAATAGTTCCCTATACACCCAAACCAACCTCGCCCAACCTGGTGTTTCCAGGTGTTTTGAACAACAATTCCCAGTGTTCCAGATTATTGCCCATATTGATTAGAGCGGATGGGAGTGGGAAGTCCAAAACATCTGGTGGGTCCCAGGTTGAGGAAAGCTGATCTAAACCCTCTTCCACATCACAGCAACCATCAGCTCTTCTGTTGGCTCTTTCCGCCTTCCCCCCACCTCTCTGCAGTGGTTCTGTCTGCAACACCTCCTGAGGGCCAATCCCAAAATCGTGGGTAGCTTTACCTGATATAAACCAGTAGTGCTCCTGTCTATACATACTTGCAAATCCCTCTCCTATACCTATGCTGCAAAATAATATCGCAAGGTATGGAGTTTCCATGCTTTCCTTTGTTGGATCCTGTTCACATGAATCTAATCTGGAGATCAGACTCATTGTGTGAATATCCAGGAAGGCATTTATAGAAGCCCAACAGAAAACACTGGGAATGCCAATCCAGTCTGCCCGTTCAAAATGATGCCATGTTGGAAGTGATCAGTTTCATGCAGCAGAGCTGAGCAGCAAAGGATACCCTTTATTTCTGCTTGGAGGAGCTTGGTGGATTCACACTGGCTGCATATTGGCTTTTCTGCTACAACAAACAGAAGGTTGGTGCTAGCCAGCCTTTGTGCATGGAAGAGCCTGGAGAAGGAGAGAAAGCGAAAAGGGATGCTGGCTACTCTGGTTGGTCACAACTCGGCTCACACAATGAGGCCAAGAATTACACTGGCCGTTATGGCAAGAGTACCCCCATTCAGATACACGATGCATGCATTTCACATCAAACATATGGGGCACAGGAACAGCAGTGGCTGGTGGCGTCCATGTCAGTGGGCTACTCTCCTAACTCCAGGTTTTAGTTGGAAGCTTATGCAGCTTATTCACCATGCTAAGCCTAGTTTGGGATTAAGGTTCAGCACTATGGAGAGTTCAGACTAAAACGCCCCACTGAAATTGGCGTCGCCAGGCTTCACTGCTGTTTGTGTTTGCTGTGCCCTCATCCTAAAACCTTGCCACTTGTAGTGGCGGTAGGCCTGAGCCTCACTTTCTATTAGGAGAGAAAATATGACAATGCATGGATGATGCTTGCTTATCAATACAGATTAGGGAAAATATATTAAATGCATCATTGCATAGTTCGCAGGGCAATAGAATGTACTGGTGATTTTTCCCTTAAGCTTCCTGTCCAAAATGGAGACAGGAGTCCTGCTCCTGTCTGCCCAGATGTGGTGCCAGCTGGGAGAAGTGCTTGCCTTAAATTGCACGCACCCAGGCAATGGTTTAAAATAGGATAGGATACATTTATGCAAAAAGAGTTGCATGCACACACACCGTTCAGCCTGAATACAAAAATAGGAAAAAAACAGAATTGGCTTACTGTGTTCACTGGTGAAGTCTCTTGCCTTACCGCAAAGACCTTTTGTGTAAGGTTGGAAAAGACCCTAGAGTCTTGAATGAAGGCAACGCTTGCCAGCTGGGCTGAGGCTCTGTTTTTAACCCTTGTATTATGCCTATTGCCAACCTTTAATGCTGCCTGGCTATCATACAGCGGTCCAGCTCTTTCTAAGCCCACCACGCCAAACCTAAGCATCCTCCATCAACTAATGTTGCAGCTGATGCCTTTGCTAATCCCAAAGAACTTGGACATGCTCCAGTTCCTCCTTGGGCACCCTGTCTTTGGACTCTGCAGTTGGCAACTCGTCTTAAGAAATAGGTGCACCAACCACAAGCTATCCCTTATAAACATCATGCGCTAGCGAAGTCAGGTGACTGCTACCCAACATTCACTTTCCAAAGTTCACAGGCTCCAGCTAGGCCCTTAATACTAATCTTTGGCTCCCTTAGGAATCTTCCCTATGCCTATCTACACCATCTTATTTATGCTGCTTTTCTATGCTAGCAAAATGAATTTCATGGCCTTAAATAAACTCAGTTACAAGGCTCTTTAAGCTGTTTAGAGGGCAATCCTATGGGCTCCCCACCTTTGTGGCAGGGGCAGGATTTGTCGGACTCCAGAGGCCAAGCCACTCCCTGCCTCCCTCACAAAAGGTTCTGCGGGTGCTCCCAGAGGGCAGTGTCGGGCAATGGCCCTGCCTACATGAGTGACTTTACAGTGGGGAGAAGACTAGGTGATCTTTCTTCCATTTCTGACCCTCCCTTGTTTTTGCACTGCTTCTTCCATCCCCCCACACACCTGCTCAGGAGGAAAAGATGAAATGGCTGTGCGGTGCCTTTTGACTAACAGTGCTGGGAGCCTCCACCTGGAAACAACCTGTGCTCCTAAAGTGCCAATCAAAACCCTCCAACGGTCCCTGCAACCACTTGTGCCCATCCTGGCAGCCATCTTTTAGCCTGGCAGTTAAAAAGAGAGGGACCCACGCCAAGGAGTCTGACCACCTCCAGGATATCAACAGCTTCGGTGAGCTACCTTTACGGCAGGGACAGCTTCCACTGACCTGGAGCAATTGCCACAGTCGATCATGGTGTTGTAAGTGTAGTCAGTTGTGCTGAAGTAGTACTGCGTCTGCTTCATGATGCAGCTGGTCTCTTTGGACTCCACGCTGTCCGCGGTGACATCCTCTGTTAGACGCACAACACCAATAGTGGAATGGAACGGAAGCAGCGCTCTTTGGGCTTATCCTTCCTAACCCCTTTCAATTAATAGTGCACGTCTAGACATGCCTGCTTATTAGGGAAGTAAGAGCTCATTACAGGCAAGAGCATATAGACTGCAACCAAATTGCCTTTCTCTAAACCTGGGTCTAAGCTACTGACCTTTTTGTGCAATCTGCTACTGGCAATTGTGCAGGAAGTTAGAAAAAGTGTCACAGAGCAGGCTGCAATGCCTTTCCTGCTTCACCTTCCATCTTTTCCACCTTATGCATAAATGTTACCCTCCTGAAGAGGAGTAAGCATCGCTGGCCTTGGCCTTATGCATAGTCTGCATAACCTGATCACTCCTGCTCCGTTACTGAATTTTCACGTGTCTTGTGATACATTGGTGCTCCTAAACTCATTCACTATGGGCATCTTGCTTGCATCTAGCTCATTTCTTAGCAGAAACCAAATCCAGCTGCTTCATTTTCTCCGCTCCCTCCTCTCCTTTTGGCACATCACAGCAGGCTTCCTGAAGTATGCTGGAGTTCTGTGATGCTTCAATTACAGTTCAACTGTGATGCTTCAATTGTCTCTTGGGAACAGCCAGTCTCTAAATCTGAGAGGAGGGTGTGTGTGTATATGGAGAGTCAGCACTGTTTTGGGGACAGTGAGAAGAAAACACCAATGAAACAAAAGACAACCCAAGGGCACCTTAAAGCAGACATATCGAGCATAAAACCTGGGGCCTTGATAAAAGCCTATAAGGGTCTTTGGTTGGCCCACAGCACCTTTACCACGTCCCACGCAAATTACTGAACATTTTGAGGGGAAGGAGTTGCATTTCTTCAGTAGGCCAAAAGCTTGACTCACTCATGCTTGGTTTGCCCATTGCACGAAGACGTTTGTTTTGCTGTATCCATGCAATGCACGTTGCCATGGCTGCAGGGACCATGTGGAATTTTTCCAGCTGAACTTCCTACCAGCACAGTTTTGTACATGTTTACTCAGAATATATGTTCCTGATGCTCAGTCCTCGGGAGTGTGTTTAGGATTGCCATCCAGTTGAGGCAGAATTGATACACTGATCACCTTTCAAGTGGAATTTACCCTACTTGGGGCAGGAGAATTACAAATTTGACCCCATGAGGCAATGGAAGCTTCAGCTAAAGAGCATTCCAGGCATTGCTCCTCCATTGTTCCCCCAACACACATGCCCCCCCCCCACTCCCTTTTAAAAGCAAATATTTCTTCTTCTGCAAGCTGCTGCCAACTTCTCTACAGTGACCAGGTGCTGCTACGAAAAGAGCTCTTTTGACCAAAACAACCATTTCAGAGTCACAACTGAGCCTCTGTGAACTTCTGCACATGCTCAGAGGGTTCTACTATTCTAGAGCCTTCCTCTAAAGTGGAAACATTTTGGAGCCAGTCTGCTGGCTTGTGCCAGGCAGAGCTAGCACCCCTGTTCAGACAGGAAATGCTAAGAAAATTGCCCCGGCCAACTGGGAGAGGGGGGGTCTCTTGGCTCAGGTGGAGGTGCCAGCACATGCCCAGACTGCCTGCCTGCCTGCCTGCCTAACATTTTTCACAGAGATTGGGGAGGCAGAGGAGCTCTGGCCCCAGCAGTAAGATGTTTTTCGGTCTTTGAAGGGGTCTAGTCTATGGTATGTATCTATGGTGTGGGTGTGTGGGCGGGCAGGGGGGCGAGAGAGAGTTTGTGTGCTCGAAAGAGTGCTTCTCTGTGTGCTTCTGAGAATATCATCTCTTGCTTTAATTATTATAATTATCACTGTTATGATCATGATCACTGAGATTATGGTTTGTGGCCTCCCAAAGGATACAGTCATCATAATTATTGTTATTACGTGCATAGTGATGCCCACATTCTTTTCTACAATCTGGTCCCTCTTGCAGGACATGCACACACAGAGACACTCACAGCTCTGTGGAAAGGCAGTTGTTGCTGAACGTGCTGTCCAAAGGAATACCTTCCATGACTCTGGGCTCCACCTTTGCTGCCCTTCCCTCTGCCTGTCCACTCCACTGACCAAGGACCTCCCATGCGTCCCACCGGGTTGCAAATTTGGCCTGTCAAGTCCATTTGAATTTCATAGCACAGCCCTAAAGTCTTCTGAAGCAGCACTCAGAAGGACTAGTAACCATCTTTTCCTAGATGTATCCTGTGCAACATTTAATGACGCGGAAGCACACTGTTCTTCAGTGTTGAAGAACAGCTTCAGCAAAGACTCCAAGGTACTGGTAACAGAGGAAGCGCTTGCAATCCCACGTAGCCCAATGTCCCTTTCCTTTCCTAAAGCTAGTCTAGCTTTGCAGTTAAGCTGCAGGGCTCCCTCAATGCCAACTCACCTCTTTGAGACTGAATACAACGAACCAATGAGGAAGGCTCACCTGTTTGAAACCAGCTGTTGTAGGTTAGTCCATATAAAAATTGCTGAAATAGAGACCTTGTGGAAGGAAATAGCAGACATTATTTGTTAGCAGAAACAGTGCATTTTACCAGTAAAACAGTTTCTTTGACTTAAATGCCTAAATGGGTATGAAGATACAGATTTGATTTTTTTCCCAGGCTCCAGAAGGTATCAAAAGCCAAGGAACCCCCTAGGTTGCTACTGAATACTTTGAAATGTTGACTTTACAAACTTAGAACACCTGTGCTGGATGCCTCTGCTACAGGGTTTGTAATGATTATGCTCAATGCAAAATTGTTGAGCGTGCTGCACTTCTGTTTTGTGATAAAAACAGTGCTTCCTGAACTCATCTGGTAAATTGTAAAAGAAGGGCTCACCATGCAGCTGCTGAGGTCCACCAAGCCAGGTTCAGAAAATCTGCCATGGTTGGCTGGACATGAAAGGACAAAGGAAGCATAATTACTTAAGAGAACAGAAAACACACATTCCATTTCATGTAGCTTCTCACATGCTCAGAACCAAGCATGGAGCCTAGAGGGTTTTACAAAGTTTGCTAATTCCTCAACTTGTCATCTTTTTTGTGTGTACCTTGGCCAAGTATAAACACAACCTGTGCTCATACTGCAAGATGAAACCAATTTCTGATAATAGTGCTAGGTCACTGATAAAGAATCTACAAACAATTATACCTACTGGATACCTACAAATAATTATACCCACTGGATCATAGGACACAGAGACAAAAGAAGTTAATGAAAATTATATCATCAGGTCATCAGATCACCTTAATATGAACAGAATGATAGTTTGCAAATGTTATGATCAGATTGCAGTATCAGACATTGCATACCATGTAATACAAGATCCCAGGCACTGATTTTATTTTACTAGACAAGATCAGGTACCTGAAAGAACTTTGATTTATAAACTATGGTTTGCTGGCCACCAACTGTCCCTCATATTAGGCAGTCTGTGTTGCGTGCCTTCAGTGGGGTGAATCCAATGTTAATTCTACTTAGAGTAGACCCACTGAAATGAACCGGGCTTCAATTAGATGAACATTGGATAGAACCCAATGTAGGCAATAGAGGAAAACTAAATAACAAGAACAAACTGTGATAAACACAGCACTGCAGCTTCTTCAGTCTTGTAACTACACTGAATACACGGATGGAAGAGATGGGGAAATTTCGCTACAGCAGGGGTAGGCCCCATCGATGTTCTGTGTTACTAGCAGTGTCGGGGCCATCCCTCTCTCCTTGGCATGGGTCTTCCAACTTTGATAGCAGCGCAAACCAGGAAAGTTGGCCTTAAAGTTCTAAGTATGTGCATTGCAGGAATCAGTGACAGAATAAGCAAACTGAATTAGCATGCTAGGAAATATGGCATTATGAAAAGAAGTCATGGAGTCCGGGAGCAGCCATGCCCATTTCCCATGCCTGCTCCTCTTTCTTCTCTGGTACCCGAAGCTCGCTCAGTCTCTAGATTGACTGTCCTTGGCATTTCAGCTGCAGGCTGCACTCCTCCTCCTCCTCCTCATTCAGATCTCTTCCCCATCACTTGGAGACTCTTCCGCAGCACGAGCCGCCCAGTCCCCATGGACCAGACCTGGACTGTGCGCTCAGCCAGGGCCCCACTCTGCAGACCCAACTCTTTCTTACTTCATAGTTGCTGTGCAGGAAGTTGCTTGAGAGACTGCCACCTGCTGGCTGCCTGATGTGGCAGCTGCAACATAGGAGGGCCACCCATCTGAGGGGGGTGGTTTAACTGGGAGTCCTGCACTGAGCAGGGGCTTGGACCCTCTGGCCCCTTCCAACTCTGCTCCTCTGTGATTCTCTCTATGGCCACCTGCAGTGGGTGCAGAGCATCAACACTGCTACTGACTGCCATGTGTTTTACACTTTCTTTTTGTGGCATCTTCCGAATTTGAAATCAAACCCACTTTGGGTTATCTAAAAAATGGGCTGCAAAATTGCTCTGGAATTATCCGTGTTCAGATCTCAGAATTATTCAGTTTGTACTCTGATCTTTCACAAACTGCAACGCTCACCTCCTATCTTAAGAATCTCTAACACTTTATGTTTATACTACTGAACACCCTTCTTCTGTTTGTTTCTTTGTTCTAAAATACAGTGAGCTGCTTGTTGTTCTACAAAACTTTAACAGATTCCTGCTGCTGCTGTGGCAGTTTAATCCCAGTTGTTGTCTAAGTCTGAAGCAAATTCCTACCGTACATACAATGCTCCAATGTTCAACTAAGACTCCCCACCAGAGGAACCAGGACTTACCACATATACTCTGCGTGGTGCACCTCCTGTGTTGCTGGGAGCTTCCGGAGCACAGACAGACTGAAAGTCATAGGATTCCTTCCGTGTGAAGAAGGAATTGTTGTAGAGGGCAGACATCAGGTGAGCATCCACCTCACTGAAGAACTTTCCTACCTGGAGAGAAAAAGGAACAAAGAGCCGCCCATTAGCTGTATCCAGACTGCTATGAGTTTCTGCCGCACGTTAGTTTTTGTAGTGATGCAGCCACTCCTCCGTTTTCATAAGTAACACAACTGAAATGGAAAGAGGGTCGACACATGTAGGAAATTATTAATACTAATGATCAATCTTGACATCAATTTCTTACATGTTTATTAGGAAATAATTTTTGAATCTGGCTATAAGGTAGATGCCAGTGTGAAATAAAGAAGAATGTCTGTATAGCTACAAAGTACAGGAATCCTTGCTTTAGGGAGCACCACCCAAATGGACTCCTACAGAAATAGAGGAGCTTACCTGGTACCAGTAATCTTCCTGGTTGGAGAGCACCAAAAACCCGCCATCATCAATGAGCACACAAAGGAGGTCCTGCAAGAGTGAACAACACTTGTGTTTTTCAGGGCAGTGACTTCTATATTCTGGTCCTTGGGGGCTGGCCCATCTCTTGCTCACTGCAGTGTTCAGATAGATTTTTTCTGATTCTGAGGAGGAGGAGGGTGAGGATACTGAAGTTTCAAGGTTAGCTAGTGAAGTTTCTCAGGCAGAGCGAGAGAATTGGCCTGCTTTGGAAGGGGTGGAAGGGTTTTCAGATGCAAGTCCCAGTCTTTGACCCAATAGGGAGGCAACAGGAGAAATGAGCTGCTCACTTGGAGGGTTTTTGCCATTCCTGCTGTTCTGCCCTCAAGTAGCAAGAACCTCCCTGAGGGTGGAGTCAGAAGCTTTACTGAAAAGGAGAGACAGAGGGGAAGTTTCTAGTTTGGATTCAACTCTTTACATGGGTGGATAATTCCCCTTCCACTTTAGAAGAAGCCTATTTAGCTAGAGTTCAGGCTGTTCTGTGATCTGTTAAGTTTAAATAAAAGAGCTGCACTTCAAAGGATTGTCTTGAGTTTGATAACCAGAAGGAAAGGGGAAAGGGACCAGCTCCAGACCCTTGGGCCACCATCAGCCACATAGCAAAGCTTTTCCCAGCTTGCCTCCCTACTGAATAAAGGCAACATCCCGCAACAGCGAAGAGCAAAGCTCATGGCACACCCGATTTTCATGCCTAAAACCACAGGTGCAATCCTTGCATCTCCAGCTTACAAGAAAAAGTTGCAGGGATAAGAAAAGCTTCAGCATGAAACCTCAGAAAGCTGCTGTCGGGCATGATAAACCATCCTGGATTAGAGGGATCAACAGCCAGCCTCCGTGTAAGGCAGCATAACCATGTGAATCGCAATGATTTTTCCCTCCTGTGGCCTTGTCCTTCTACTCGCATCCGAATTCAAGAGAAAAAGCTGGATGTCAGGAGAAGGGACTCCCTCCTTTTGGTCAAACAAATGCCCAGGTCTCAGAAAAAATGCAAGGGGTGGAATCTGCTCCTCTTTTCCTAGACTGCTTATGGTGCTTGCATGGGCAGAAGGATTGGGGAATGACAGGCTACGAACACACAGCAATGCTGGAGATGGAACCTGGCAGGTTGCCAGGCAGGGGAGTCTGTGTAGAGAATGGTTGCATTTATGGCAGCATGTGCCTATTTTTTAAAAAGTTTCCTTTCAATATGTCACATGGCAGTACATTTTAAAAAGCCCCTACTGGGGGTCTATCATTGCCTTTCCAACCCTGCTAAACATTTCCTGTGCCTAACTTTAAACGGTTAGTTTAGTCTCCAGACTCTAAACTAAACTCAGATGGGCTTTGTGCTACTCGCCGGATTCGGGAAGGAGCTAGCCGGCGGCACTTCCCCTAGTTACCTTGTAATTGGCCTCGCAGTCCATCTCACAGCTGGTGGAGGGGTCGCACTGCAAACCAAAGCAGACAGGCATGGGAATTAAGAGCATTCAAGCATGTGAGTCTAATGCCACCCAGAACACAACCCTGTATCTCTCAGAATAGCAGATCAGCAGAGTAAATGGCCAGAAGGGGATTGTGAGAAAACAGTGAGGGGGAGATAGCTTTAATCCCAGTATGCACACCCAGATAACATTTAAGTATTTGTAGAGGTATTTGTTCCCCCTTTCAGAGAGGGAGGGAAGATGGCTGGAGGAGGCTCTGAATAAATTGCCTTGACCTCCTTGGTCTTCTCCTTTCCTGGTCCACCAGAACAAGCACGGGTCTCTCCAGACCAGCTGCAAGGGGGTAGGATAGGGAGTTGGATCTGATTCCCACTTCGGAGGCTGAAGCACTGCCTCTGCTCTTGGAAGGGGAAATCTAAGCCACCCTGCACATCTTGGAATGCTTGCCCAGGAACTGCAGGGCTGCTCCCTAAATAGCTCTGAAGACCTCACGGGTGAACTTGCTCATCTTTTAAGTTCTTCTGCTGAGGCTCTGTCCTGTGTGTTGCAGCCCTGAGAGAAGAAGCAGTTGGCCGCTAGGAATGCAGCTCTTACAGGGGTGCGAAAGAGCTTCTAGAGATAATACAGTGGTTTAGGCTTGAGCATCTTCATGCAAGAAGATGCTTGAAAAAAATGGAAGGGTAAAGTGATGCCGTTATGAACAGATTGCCCCTTAAGATAAGAGGACTCTGGGGAGTGAACAACCTCAATGGAGAGAAGCCGACAAGTCTGCGTTGACTGCCAGAGCTGCAGTCCTGAACATGTGGGGCCTAGCATGGAGTTTGGGGGGCTCCTTAGCTCCAGTCACGTCATCTACAAACTACAGGTGTTCGGTTCCTTTCCCAGCAAGCATCCTCCACCACCTACTCTTCGTGTTCCCAGCTGATCCCTTTCTGTGCGGTTACTTGCAAGGACTTTAAATTTTTCTGCCCAGGCCTCCAGGTCAAGCTTCACTCCAACCACTGGGGAAATAAAAAGACCATCAGGTTAGACCTTCATTTTTTCCTTTTGTCTAGAGACATAGATTTTGATCCTGAGTACTGACTGTGAGGATAAGGTAGGCTTCCCACCCCCATCTCCACACTGAAGTTCCCTGAGTCCCCTTGAAAAGCCCCTCTGGAGGTTAGGAGATTCTCAAACAGTATATGAAGAAGTGCTGCTGAGGGTGGAGGGATTGCCCAAAATCACACTAAGTCACAACAGTGTCTTCCTGCCATTGTGGATTATAGACAACTGGATCCTCTTTCTCAGGGCCAGCACACATGTAATTCTTTCAGGGTCACCTCCTCCTCATTTCCAAGCAAATGTAGGAAGTGAAATTGATTCCTAGGCATTCAGGACTAGGGTTCTTGTGGACTTGAAGGATGAGGATACAGAAGACTAGCTGTTTGCAAAAACCAAGAACCAACAAATTGACATTCCAGTTTTCAGAGCAAAGGTAAGTTAGTTTGTTTTATAAAGTTGTTAAGTTTGTTTGCTTTTTAAAGTCCATACATGTTAACTTAGCATTTGTCTTTGTATGTTACACTAAATCCTGTTTACTGACTCACAAGAGTCCCAGCCCATGAAGTTTGACTGAATGCTTTCTTGTAAAAATCTTCTTTCTCTCATTCCTAAACTAACATAATTCTCTCTGAGCATGAAAAATTACACCAGGACCACCTCTGCCTGCAGCCCAACATACAGGTTTGTTAACAGCAGTGCACAGAAGTTCTGCACTCAGATTGGCAGTCCAGGTGCTTCTAGGTGGAAAATTCTGATCAAAGGACTTTGCAGCAATTACATCTTTTACTCTTTAAGAGACTTTAAATAGAAAAAATGACTGGAACAAGTAGTAGGAAGACCTGGAAGGGCTGCGAGTGGAAGGGAACACTGTGTGCTGTGGGGCATTCCATGAATGCGGCTGGGCACTTGCAAAATACACGCATCACGTGAAAGACAGTGGATTTTATGCCCCAGCAGATTCTGAGCTGCAGGACACCAGGGCTTCATGAAGCGAGCCATGAGGTCCAAAGTCTCTGAGACCGAGGGGAAGATGAGGGTGCGGCCCCCCAGCATCCTTACCTGCAGGTTTCAGGTGCCTATCGCCAAAGTTAAGCTCCACCGCGGTGCTAACGAGGATTCCAATTGTGTTGTTCTCGGGCTCGAGGACTCTGTAGCTGGCTGCAGGGAGGAGAGAGAAAGGAGGTCTGCCGTGTCGTTTGCTGCCGTGAGCAGTGCTGCAAAGCGTGGCTGCTAGAAAAACAGCTCTGGGTTCTGTGACAGCTGAGAGGACGGTCGATCTCCCTTCTTGTTTTCACAAAGGGCTGCCTTCCTGCCAAAACTCGCTCCCCTCGCTGCGAAAGGAAAGGCTGCCGTTCTAGGAATCTCTTATCTAGGAACTATCTAATGTCAAGAAGACTTGGCTGCTTAGGTTTCACCCACCTTAGGTGATGTGGGTAGTGACCATCATGTTGGCAAGCAATGAGCTTCATTAATTTCAGCTCATTGCTTAGATCCCTAATGCAAAGAGGAAGGTCTCTTCTGGGGCAAGCAACTTCAGCTGCAAAGACCAAAATTACTGGTTGGCAGATACAGTGGAATTCATATGCCCTAAGGGAAAGCACTACGTAAGCAATAAATATAATTCTTACTGCATTTGCAATAAACCTTTGAACAAGATATATTAGGGTTGGGGGTTGTTTTGTTTTTGTTTTAGCACAGATACATGTCTCCCCTTCCTGGAGGTCCTGAGGAGAATTAAACTTACGATCCCGGTAAGGCGGCTTAAAGATGTAGCCTTTGTTATCCAGGCTCCTCCGATAGAAGCTGGCATTGAAAGGCTCTCGTTCTTCTTCCCAGTCTTCAGCCGCTCTTAAATGAAATCACACAAAATCAGGAGTTTCTCCACGTGCCTGAAATATTTGTTCTGCCTCATGCGACATCACACAGGTTTTATTTTTTATAGAGGTGAATCCCCAATGAAGTCTATTCACCACGACTAAAGGCCATGGACAGATATGATCAAGTGCTTTTAGAGAGGCGATCTCCCCATCTGTTCTCCAGATTATGAAACTTGGAATTTATAGAACTACATATTTTCATATAACACCTTTGGTATGTGATTAAATGATATATTTCACCATGGAATATTCAGGCTAAAGCCATATCTTAATTCTCTTTCATGAGGACTAGAATCTTGCATTTTGAAAATTAAATCTGAGTTCATTATTTTTTCAGCGGCCAGCTTAAACCTAGCAAAGCGAATGTGTTGCAGCCTACCAGTTATTGACTGTCATCTCAGAATAATTCTAATTTTCAAAACGGATTAGTGTTTAACTAATCTGTTGATTTTACAGCCTCAGACATGCAGAAAACAGAATGTTTAACATGCTTCTGGTGGGCAGTGTTAGGTTTGGTGAGTCACAGGCTATGTAGGCTCATTTTATCATCTACCTGTCAGGCATTAAAGATGATTACTGGCTTTCAGAAACCTCTCAAATCACAAGGAATTGAGGCTGGTTAAAACATGACAGCTGGCAGGCAGTATTTCTTTGTGTGTCAAGGGCATCTGACCTTCTTCGGAATGGTTGCAAGCTCAACTACAACGATAATAATATCCCTCTGAAGAACTAGTTAGCAATACAGAAGAATGACACCCCAGAAGTGCTGGCGTGGGCCCAGGATTGTCCTGGGATTCTCAGTGCTTGATTTGTTACATTTATTTGGCCAGGGAAAGTCTCCCTACGTACATATGCCCTTGCCTGCAAGTACAGAAACAGATCTTTTAAAAACTAAGAGATGAGAACCCCCACCTTCAAGGGAGAAGTTTCTCACCCCTGCCACGTTTGCAGGTTGCCAAGACGCTGGCACCTGAGGGGACACGAGGAGACACAAAGGCATTCTGAACCCCCGACACTCTTGCGGAGAAGGGGGCCTGCAGCACCCCCTTTCTAAGGAAGCAGCTGCAGCTTCTGACACCTGTCCAATGCTCAGAGCTGGGGTACTCCTGCCTACACAGCTGGGGCGAATGGGCAGGGTAGGACTCAGGCTGGACTCTGCAGCCCCACTGCCACTGCCACATACCAGTGGTCATTCACAGTTACCCGAGGGGTGCAATAGACATATTTTAATCACAAAAATTAAAGGGTACACTAAGACAAATGATGACCATGGGGACTTCTCAGAGGGACTGCTTGGGGATGCCAAACAAAGATTACAAGAGTCTGCTTGACAGCTGCCTTTTATGATCGCTGAAAAAGAAAGTGTGAAGTGGGGGGAAAGCCCCAGTGGCAGTAGCAGGTAGGGGGAAACCTCGATTGCCCCCCAGGAGACCCATGGGAGCACCGGTGGGAGGAGGAGAGGGGAGGAAGGGGCCAGCGATCCACAGCGTGCCTAGCCTCTGCTGGGCCCATCTTGGATGCACTGGGGCTGCGTGGCTTGAGCAGCAACGGTGGGTTCATCCATGTCTCAGCTGGCCCATCTGAGCAACTTTCCAGAGGGTTAGGGAAGGGGGAGAAACTCCTCCAGCCCTCCTCTCTGCAGGCATTGAGAAGCCCACCAGTGTTTCTAGGTGGCAAGGCAAGCAAAGGGCCACTTACTTGTTAGGGAAAACGCGGGTGATGCCTCCATCAGTTGCAACGAACACAGCTAGGAGGCTATACCTACGAGGAGGCAGAGAGAGCAGTAAGGAGCAAGTCGCAGGCCCCGGTTCCTCTTCTCTCCTATCTGTCCTTGGAGTGCATCTTTAGCATGTATGCCAATACTTACGGTGCTCGTCTCTACAGCACACTTCTGGTTAGGGGTGAGCTGAGCCGGGGTGGGACGCTTATCAGCATGTGCCTCTTTCCGGCCATGCCTTGGCCCCCGACAGCCCAAATCCCTGAGCAGCACAACCCCTCTCCTGGCCATTCCCCCTTCCCGCCATTTACTGCCACACGGTCAATTCACATTACTGCCTGCCAGGAGGGGGCGCCTCTCAGTGTGGCCGGCTTCAGCATCGCTAGCCGGGGCTGATGGGAATGGCAACTTCTGGAGGGCTGCGTGTTGCACCGTGCTACTGTAAATCCTTACGCTTGGCGTGCCCTGCTGACTTGAGGATTTCAGTGCATTGGCAACTGGATTGCCAGGATCCTGAGTTTACCCATTTGGCTGGGACTACTGTGTTCTCGTGGCAAAAGCATGTTTTGGTGTAAATCCTGCCCATCTATTCTGCCCCCAGTTGGCAGAGCTTTTCCTAGAGGTGCCAAGACTTCTAGAGCATCTGAAACTCTACTGAACTGAAATCGTATTTACGTGTTTAGATCTTGGTCTTTCCATACTCTTTCCACCAGCTGTTGGGTGATGCCTGTGTCCAGGATGAGGTTGTGTAGAAGAAAGTTATCACCTTGAATGAGAAAGAGAAGATGCATGTTCCCAACTGAGAGTTTTGCTTCAGGTATTCATGAATAGGGTCCCTTGTTGTTTGAAGTGTGATAGTGAGGAATTCACTTGGTCACCTATTCTTGCAAAGTCTTCCCCTCCCCTTGGAGAGCCCTCTTCCCCCTTGTTTCAGCAGAGATGCAAATGTGGCCGCAACCCCACAGTGTAAAGTGTGGACAATCCCCAATCCTCACTAGCGAGTGGTTGGAGTGCCCCAAGAGGTGGTTTTTTGGAGGAGAGTTCTGCGACCCTCATACCGTTATGTACACCATATATATTCATATATATGAATCCCAGGTCATATATATTCACTCGACCTCAATTCGGTAATGAAAGAAACCCTAGAGCCAAGAGGTAGCTCTGCGAATGCTTTCCACAACACCTCGGCTACATGGCACGCCTCACAGTGTTGCCAGCGACTCTTTCCAGCACTGTCCTCTCGGCTGCCTCAGGCCTGGCCCTTGCCTGGTCCCAGGCCCAAGCTTTTCAGGCAGCCCCGGGGGCTTGCAGGGTGGAACTCTCACCGGAGCCCCAGCTGAAGCCTCTCGTGGCGTGGGGGTGGGGGGCTCCTGCTCCTTCTGCCTCTCTTACTTCCTTTGTTCCTTCCATCTCCCTTTCCTCCTCTTTTATGTCAAGCCCTTCCTCTTCACTGACGCTGTGAAGTCTTGCACATGAGCCATTTGTCATGCACTTATCATTCCCTCCTCACAGTTCTTTACGGTAGTTTGGCTGGTCACCTGACCCTCCAGTTTTGCTTCTATAGCTCAAGACCACTTTCTACTAGTTACTTTTTGAGCAGGGGAAATGCTATTCTTGCAAGTGTAAAAAACGCCCTTTTCTTCTCGTGGAATTGCACTGTTCTGCCACACCACGGTGCCACTTATCGGTTATGCAGAAGAAAAGCAGGAGGAGAAATGTTCTTTGTGTAATGTCCGATTTCTCTACAACAAAACTGAAAGCAGATACATAGATGAACAGCCTCCTGTAGAAAAGCTCTGGTGCCGTTCTCTCTGCTTCTGCCTCAACATGGAGCTAACCAGACACGTGTTCTTAATCTCCCTGGCTGGCCCAGTGGTGCTGCACACAGCTGGCGAGGAGACTGTAGACCAGTGGCAGCAACCTGGTGCCCCCCAATTGTTTTGGGAATACATTTCCTATCAACCCCAGCTAGCATGGGATGGCCAGGGATCAGAGTGATGCAGCAGGTTGCTGTTAGCACTGCAGGACACAGAGCCCAGAGCAGGGGAGGGCGAGCATCTGTCGGGTGTTTTCCAGGAAAACTCCCAGCATTCTTGACCAGGGGCTACACGGTATAGTGGTTCAACTGCTGGACTGGAACCCAGGTGATCCGAGTTCAAGCCCTGCCCTGGGTAACTTTGGGTCAGTTCCCAATTGTCCTCCTAACCTACATTACATAACAGGTGTGGGGATCAAGTGGAGAGGAGATTCCTTGCAGGAGTAGAACAAGGCGGGATAGAAACGTAATAATAAATGAATGAATGATGCCGCCTGGGACTGATGGGTGTTGAGGTCCAAAACATCTGGAAAGCAACAGGCTGGGGGGCAGCTCTCCTTTCGCTGCTGCCACTGGGTGTCTGTCCTGCAAGTGTATCTCCTGCCCAGTGCCTGGCTACATGCAGAAGCGGCAGCACTGAGAGGGTTGCGTGCCCCTCGCCTGGTCCACACAGTTGTGGTGCAAGGCAACCCTTCAGTTTCCTCTTTGCAGACGGCCGACTCCTGGAGGCTTTGATTTCTCAGCCATCTTAAGAAACAAAAGTCTCCAAGTGTTCTTTGTATTATACATGTGGCTGGAAGGCGACCTGTAGGTTATCTTGTCTAAACTATCTCAGGACATATATTTTTATCCCTGAAGTATACTTGACAGGTACTATTCAGCCCTATGTTTTAAGCTGGTGAGAAAGAACATGCCAAGCCTTCTCATTTATTCTTACTTGCTGGAAGTAAATGGCTTGAAAAAGAACAAATATCTCACGTTTAACCCCCCCCCCCCATTTTTCAGATGCGAAGCCACCCCTTTTCTTCTACGCATTGGGAAGGATTTGTCTGCCTTGGTCTCAGCCTCTCAGAACAGCCTGGCTGCATATCTGCGGTGCTCCTGGGAAATGCCCAGCGGGCAGCATCAGAGGGCCCCAGAGCCTCACCAGGGCCCTCACTGGATCCAGCTGAGGCCAGACTGAAGAGCGTGGTGATGTGCACTTGCTCCACATTCAGGATCCACAAGAAACACTTCTAGATGCCCGAGGCTGTGATCCTATGCACACTTTCCTGTGAGTCCCATTGAACTCAGCGAGGCTGACTTTCCAGTAGGCACTATGGATCTACTCATCCTTCTGGAGATGGCTAATCACTGGTTTCCTCGCATGTTATCTGGCTGATGCTGCAGTCTCCTCCAGAGGCTAATTATCCACCCTGACCCTTTATTCAGATTAATCACAGAGCCTGCTCTGTCTAAACAAAGAACAAAGAAACCTGTGTCCCTCCAAACAATACTGTACTCCAACTCCCATCATCCTGACCAATATTTGGAATGCCAGTTTCCCCCACTCCATATCTGACATTAGCTTTGCTCCCTGCACATTTTGCTTTATGTTCACTGGTTTGCTGTGAAGCAGAAGTGGCCCTTTACCCCTTAGTTTTTTCTGGCTTCTCTCACCCAAATAGTGCCGCGTGTTTCCTGAGAGGAGGCTGGGTCCACCAACGCCCCTGGGGTACTTACATTGCTTGGAGTCGGGCGTCACCTTTTCCATGAGAGCGATAAAGTTTTCCAGGAATTCAGTGTTGTTATCCGACAGGTTGAGGTCTTTGCAATATTCTCTGGGGTTACGATGAAAAGATTTGTAGTTTGGAAGGATGAAAAAGTTAGGGTCAGTTTTCTTTCTCTCAGAACCAGGATAATCACGATTTGTGCACAACGTGGGTGAGGCAGTTACCCAGACATGTTGCTGTTGTGCGCTGGGGCACAGCTTCAATAATATCTGCCTATATGCTTGAGAAAAGGGATGGGCAGTTTGTAGATTGTCTGGCAAAATTCACATCCTGGCCTACCCAATAAGCTCAGGGGACATTTTCCAGCTTGATGTGCATTGTGTACAATGAGATATCGATACCTTCATGTTCATACTCCTGTCCTGGTGTGTCCATGGGAGAAAGGAGTGAGTGGGGGAAGACACATTTGTGAGGACCCAAAGTGTCTCAACAAATATCCGCACAGAACACGAGACTGCCCTCTGGTGTGATTGGGGCCCTGTTCTGCTGAAGATAATCGCGGGATGATGGCAGCATACTTTAAAAAAGGTGATATTGGTTTGCACATGTGCTTGTTGTAGCCTCTTTGGAGTTTGGATGCAGGAACTGCAGGCAGTCTTTGGAAGTTTATTGGCCACTGGAAATTCTGTGGAATCCACTTGTTTCAGTTATTAATTGATGCCATCAAACACCATCTGAACGGGCTTCTAATGCCACCTACGGCACAACACTAACGTTGTGCGAAACTACACCATGAATGCTTTTTTCGAATTTGTGCAGTCATTGCACTACACCTCCAAGGAGTCAGTTGCTTAATTAAATTCTTCTAGGAATTAGGGCTTAATTATACCTGTGGCTTCATTAAACTTTTGAGAGCAATCCCATGGCCTCCCAAGCATTGTCAATGGGACCATAGGATTATTTGGAGTCCTGCCTCTGAAGTTCTGTGGCCCTGGAGCTAGCACTCCAAACACAGAGCCCTCAGCCCACCCTATAGCCCGCATGGAAAGCAGTGCCAGCGGGTTCCCTGAGTCAGCAACCAGCCCTGGCGAGGGCTAAAGGGGTGCAGTGGGGAGGGGAGGAGGGTGGAACCAACACCTCCAAATGGCACCCGGGGCTCCTTCGCTCCCCTTCCATGGCGCTTCATCCAGATGGCTGGCAACAAACCAGAATGGGGGGCAGGAGGCCATGCCGCATGCTCTACATCGGATGCATGTGAGCCCCAGTACCCAGAAGCATCTGTGCATCAAGGGCAGAGGACGTCTGACCATGCCTTTAGGATGCAATCCTAATTAATTTCTTTAATTAGGAAAAAAGTGGCTGACTGGGGAGTGCTGGAAGCCGTAAGACCTTTTTCTTACAATAGGATTGCATCTTTATTGAAATGAATTGGAATGATTTCAGGCGAAGGCAGATCTTTCCTTCATGCTGGTTGACTTTTATGAAGTTTGAGAGATGCCTGTCTTTACTCTGACTTTCAGACTGGCCCCTGTAGGTAGCTGTATGTGCACCCTGATCACAGAGGCAGTCCCATCAAGCAATTCTGGAAACCAGCTACAGGGTTCCAAATAATATTGGGTTGCAGTGCTTGTCTTCTGAACCACCTCTCTCTCTCGCTTTGGCCATGGGTTTCTTTTACCTCTTCCTCTTTGCTCACTTTAGGAAGATGGGGCCTGCAAGTAAGTTGAGGAACCCTCGGTGGGGAGTGGAAGAAGCAAACGCGATGTTCCCAAAAGCCCCGTTCACACCATAACTATCAGCTGGTCCATCTGGTTTCTCTAAAGCAGCTGTGAGGAACAAGGAGCGCTCCAGATATTTTTGGACTGCAATTCCCATGATTCTTCTCCACTGTTTTGTTAGCCACACATTCTCCATCCCTTCTTTTTAGGGAGGGAGGGAGGGAGGATAGGATGGGATGGGATATTCCAGTTGTAATATTCTTCCCTGAAAGGCCACAAATCTGTTTTATGGTGTTTGATAGCAATCATGAACAATGACTTCCATTACAAACTAATGGAAATCAGGTACCTGAGCTATAGTTGTTCTAAGTGAAATAACTCTGTAACCAAGCATGATATTTAAAGTATCTTTGGGAATACTATACCTTGCTGCCGCCTAAATGAAACTTTCTCTGACCTGCTTTGTTAGTCTTCTTGCAACAGAAAGTGTGTCCCCAAATTAAAATTAAATGAAAGACGTGAGGTTAAGTCATGGCTGCCTGTGAACGGAAGAGGCACACATGGTGCAAGCCATTTGTGCAACAAGCCACCTTATACAGGCCTAGAACCTCTTTGTGGAGACTGCTCCGGCCAGTGACTTTGCCAGGCTCACGTTCAGCAACTCCTTCAAAGTCTCCTCCCCTCCCTGCAAGCTGCTCCCCCAGGCTCTTCAGCTTTTGCTCCCAGTCCAGGGTGACTGTGGCCCTCATGACGTCACCAGAGGCCTTTCCACACATCTGCAGAGAACTGTTCTGGGCACATAAGACTAAATAGTGAGGGAATGCATGGGACTAAGCACGGGACTGTAGTCACCTGCTCAGAAAGCAGGGCATGATATCAGGCAAGTGTCCATCTAAAGCCAAGAATTACTTCCTGGGGTTTGAATGGACTTGGGATGGAAATACGAACTTGCTTGGCACACGGGCATTTTCCCAAACACGTGCTAGCCAGTTAAGAGTAATTCCTTGGAGGAGCCATTTGCCAGGGAAAATCAGCCTGAGGGAAAAGAGGCTTACTTCTTCCTAGGCACACCTATTCCCCCTGCAACTACACTGCCCAGAGAGTCCTTTTGGACTATTTGTCATGGAACAGAAGTTTAAAAATAAACAAATATATAAACAAATAAACCACTCCCAGCCTCACTGAACTCATGACTGATTAGGATAAATAGATGGGGGTGGGGGGCAGAGAGAACATGAGAGAGAAACTTCCCTCTCCCACCAGCATTCCTCACCTCCAAATAGGCTTCCCAGTCTTGTTGAGCACCTTGAGACCAGTTCAGGCCTGGACACCCCTTATTTCCTCCATATCGCATCATTTTGCCCATAAACTGCCTGGGTGAAATACACATGGAGTGCACTGCAGTCCAGTGGGGTGTGCAGCGTTCACGAGCAGCAGCAGCAGTGCTCCGAACGGCACGCACCAGACGCACACACGTGGCGTAAGATGCCTGCTCGCGGGACTGTGCAACCAGGGGCGCTGCTGGAGGGCCGGCGGAAGCTGCCAGCCATGCATGTGGCGGCCGGAGCCTGGCGCCCTCTCCAGGAGAGGCACTGCACTTGAGGGCCAGGCTGCGCAACTGCCTTCTGGCTTGGTGTCCCCGCGGGCCTTGGGCATGGGCCACGTCCTTTGCCCGTGCAGGTAAATGCCTCGTTTAAAAAAAAGGTGGGGGAGAAGGGTACTTACCTGCCCCTTAAAAAGGAAAGAGGTGATATGCTGGTCAGGTGACTTGTGAAAGGTGCTAAAGAAGATTATCCTCTCTATCCTGCTTTAACACAGTGTTTTGTCTCCTTCAAAACGAGAGAGAGCAGGTGCTGCAAACTCTAGTAACTGCACGTGTGCTGAATTCACCTAGTGCATAACTCCTCATATGCTCTCTTTGCCAAAGATGCACTCTGGAGTGGCTCTGGTCTCAGTCAAGTTATTAAAATTAGTGCCACTTCCTTTTGTGGACAAACTTGTCTGGTGGGTGAGCTGACTCCACTTGATATCATGATTTTAAACAGTCTTTGAGGAAATTGGAGGAAAGGAGAAGAGGGAGTGGAAAAGGAAAGCATGACAGAAGACACCAAGGATCTGTCTCATTTGTGGAACAAATTGATATTCCACAGTACACAGAAATTGTTTGGACAGTCACAGAGAACTGCTCCACACCATAGCAATAAGAAAACAAGCTGGCCAGCCGTGCTTCAGTTCAGGGTTATGCAAGGGAAATACTGCTACACACACAATAACACACACCGGCTCTAGACATATCTGTACCCTTCATTTAGATAGATAGGTGCCAACTCTCGGCTAGAGGAGGACAGGTGCATTCAGTGTGGATTTTCATTACGTCTCATGTTTCCAAAACAATGAGTCAGGTGACAGCACGTGCCTTAGGACCATCCCTTTCTAGCGGGCTGTGTAACATTGGACCCCTGTGTGTGCACATGTCTCTGGAGGCTGATGGATTATTACACAGGACCTGCTACAAATAACAGCTCCATGCTCGGCCCTGTGCCCATTCACGGCTGTCTCTGGAGGGCTGGCATGAGCTGCTGTGGCAAAGTGAACTATGCTGGCTTTACGTATCCACGAATCAGATGGAGAGTACGGACGCTCAGCCCCATTCCTTTTTGCCCTTCAGGAATATGCAGAAAGGCATCCGTAAATTTAGAGGCTGTTCTTCTGGATTCATGGAAATTTTGGACTACCTGACAGGGTGGCTAGATGAGAAAGGGGACACGGGAAAGCTGTAGAGAGGAGGGGGTTTCTTTCAGCAGATATTCCTTTCAGGACAGCTGCACCTGCTGAAACTCACTTTCCTATAAAACCACTTGAAGGTGCGTGTCCCCTGTCCTCTTCTGCATCCGGCCCACCCTGAAGGAGGCTGGAAAAAAATTAATGAGTTTGCCAAGCACAGATTATTGTAGCGTCACAGGCCTCAAGGGTTTCTAAATGCTGACCCTAGTGAAACAAATAAGAATGCAAGAACCAAACAGTGCTATGTGGAAAGGAGCCGATGGGAAGCTTCCTTAACTGTGGGGCATCCAAACACTGGGACATCGTAGCTCTTCCTAGTGGTATCTCCAAATTGCCTTTAGGAGTTAATTGCTCATACAGAATAGATCGCACCTGCTGTTGAAAATGATCCATATTAGATGGAGCAGACCATGATTCTGATGAAGCTGGTGCTGGGACAGACCCTGAAGCTCAGGGCAGCTAAGCTGCCCACTTGGATGCTGCAGTTGCTTAACTGGGCCCAGCTAAGCCTTGCCCAGTTCAGCAACTGCAAACTACACAATTGGTTAAATGGGTACAACTGCAGCTCAGTCTTGGCTGTTAATCACCTGCAATAAATCTTTAAAGAAGGCATGTGGCTTTGGAGGATTGTTTTTTGCTGATAATGCTTGTAAGGCAAAAGTCTCAGCTATAGACCTGCTCCTTGTAAAGTGTGAGAACACTGTGAGGAAAATCTGAGTAAATGTGTCATAGGATGGAAGGCCTCCTTTTTCCTGTATCTGCTGAAAGATATGTGGAAGTTCCAAAGAGAAAGACTCTAAGGAGGCTTGTACATCGCGTGAACAGAGCACTGATCCCTAACTCATGGATCAAGAATAAATCTAGTTTATTCCCTATTGCAACGTTCCCCAACTTGGTGTCTTTTAGATGTTTTGGATGTCAGCTGACATCAATGCTGCCCACAAGGGCAATGGTTGGGAATGCTTGGAGTAGTAGTCCAAAGCATCTAGAGGGCACTAGGTTGGGGAAGGCTGGACCTTATAGTATCCAACTTCTCAAAGTGCATAATACATCCATGTCCCTTGTAAAGCTTGCCTTTCTTAGAAAGCTCCATCATCTAGATTCGAGTCCAGATCTTGAAGCTGTGCTGCCGTATTCTGGAGAACACATGGCACCTTATTCAGCCGGTGAGATGTGTCCTCAGCTGAACCTGTAGTTCACCCACAGATGCTGTGCTTCATCAGTGGTGAAGTGGCCAGAGGCAGAGGACAAGGGACCTCCTGTAACTTCGTTATTTGCAACAGATGCAAACTACATCTGCTGGAGTTCCTTCTCCTGTGGAATGATTCAAGGGGCAGAAGTCCAGTCCTCCTCTGCATCTGAGTGCCTGGACTAGTTACCTGCTTCAGGGTAATAACGCTGTGAATCTCCAGAGGCAGGGTTTGCTAGATCCATCAGTGTATGCCAGACTTGTTGCTTGGTTCAAACTCATTAACACTGCAACCGCGCCAAACTCTGTAAGGGACAAGCTGTTTTTGTGCCTAGAGACTGTGAAAAATAGGAACGTGGCAGTATAGATATACAGTGCACTTCTCTAAGACACCATGATTGCTATGATGAAGCCTTTCCGCTGGGCAGGTGCATCCTGGAATCAGGGATTGGCCAAATTGAGACAAGCATTTCCTCTTCCCACCCGTTAGAGGCCAGAGAATGAATTTCCATTAATACCACAGCACTTAAAATGTGTTTGTGTGAATAGGGTGGCAAAGAGTCTGAGCTCAGCTGCAAATGTTTATAATCACATTTTGGTAGAGACAGTTGACTGTCTGTTCGGTACTGTTCGGCTCTGGATGTTCCAGCAATCTACTGCAGGTGCTCTTACATGGATAAAATAATTCGGGCTGTTTACAACATTTTGGGTCTCAGGGATCTGTAAATACACAACACTGCATCCACCTATATATCTACACAAATGTATACAGATATATGTGTTTGCACAACCACAAATAGATCATTAGTGATATATGGTTTCTGAAAATTTTAGCCATATTAGTATTGACAAGGTATCATACAGTCTCATTAGCATATTGTCTGGTATGATTGGTGTTGAGCTGCTAACAGATGGTGCAGCTGGTCCTCAAGAATTTAATCACTGATACAACCTATTCTCCATTTTTCATTAGAAAATAATCCTGTAACCCTACGCAACATGACCTGATGGCATGGGGAGTCTAGTCTTCTTATACAGTGATGGATAAATTTGGTTAGATGTTTTGGACTGCAAGGGCAGTTTGCAGGAGCAAGAGAATGTTTTTCTTCAGTCTTCCCTTTTCTATTATTAAACAAGCCTAACCTAAGAAAAATAAAAATAAATTTCTTCGAATAAATGAGTATCTTGTTTACAGTTCATAATGGATGAAATTTTAAACATGGATTTGGATCCTGAAATATAAAACTCTCTGTTTATATGATGTATGTTTAAAATGGATAGCTGCTTATAGCAGAAAAAACACCTATCACTTCTTATACCGGACAGAATGCACAAATGCTTGGGATAAGTGCAGTGTATCTTCCACTGCAATCCTATAAACACTTACCTGGGAGTAAGGCCCCCTGAGCTCAATGGGGCTTACTTCTGAGTAGACATGTATAGGAGTGCACTGAGAGAGCCGTATTAAGAAAAGTTAGAATTCCACTCCTGAATCACTACAGTTTGTAAGCAGAAGCTGTGGAAGGAAAACCCTCTTCCGCCTGCGGAGAGAGGCAGGGTGGGCAGAGGCAGCAGATGACTGGCAGTTGTGTAGAGGAGGGGATCTCAGCAGTCTTCCACGGAGATCCTCTTTCCTGCACAATGATGAAAGAGGCATGATCCCGTGGCACCAGGCCTCCTGAGGCTGCAAGAACTGACAGGCTCACACTGCTGGCCTTTGGCAAAGTGCTGGCCGCTGTAGCCTCATCTGGAAATTATTGGTGCAGCGTGAGTTTCTGGGATTTGGAGCTGACATTGCATTGTCAAGAAACCTCACCGGATCTGCTTATATATTCTATTTTTCACGCAGCTTCTGTCCACGGAGCTCAGGGGTTCCTGCCCAGACAGTTTTATCCCCAGAACAACACAGTGAGATAAGTTAAGCCAAAAGACAGCTCAAGGACAATCGCTGGTGAGAGGGGATTTGAGCTCAGGCCTCCTGTAGCCTAAAGTCCAAACTAAATGTTATTCCACACTGGGCAACACACTTACTGTTAGAAGAATTCTGGCAAAAAAGGGGGATTAAACTTATGAATTGCTGTGTTCTCTTATGTATTACAACAGAGAATGTTCTCAGTTCTACTAGACTGGATATGAAACCATAAAAGTTGGGAGCAATACAGGGTTGTTTTCATTCCTGTACATTTTAAAATATTATCTGCACAACAGTGGCTTTCCAAAACTTGGAGATATTTTCACTAAAAACGATGGTGCAGTGAGTATTTGTGAACTCCAAAAACATGGATAAAAGTAAGCCAGATCTAAGTAAGAAAGTTCAGGCAAAATGCCATTTTGGTGTCAGGACTTTCACTGTGCCAAAGATGCACTTAGGGTGCAATTTTATGCATGTTTGATGTAAGGAGTCTTACAGCTCCTGGCTGGGGAATTCTGGGAGTTGTAGGACTTTTTGTCCTGTGCAAACTGGCATAGGATTGCACCCTTAGTCAACCAAGCTGACTAATCAAATATGCATTGCAAACAGTTGCAAAATACTGCCTGGAATTATGTGACAAGAAATCTAAGTTGTGGTGCGAGAACGATTCCCCTGCCTTCAATAGGGGGCTTTTGGCACTGAAAAAATTTGTGTATCATGTCAATTTTTTGCAGTTGGCTGCAGATTTAACTAAGACAGTGTCATGATCTCAACAAGATCCAAACATGGCGTTCCATTATTTTGTGAGGATTTTCAGAAACTATACCTATATATGTATGCATACATATCTCTCTCATACACAGGCATACATATATATATATCTACACACTCTTCTTATGTGGGTGAGTGAGCAGACGGCAGGGCCACCCTGCTGCCAAGCCCGGTGATGCCCCAGGTGGCAGCTGCGGTCGCGAGTGGCACAAGGTGGACGACAGACACAGAGAGAAGGGGGGATGATCAAGACTCTGGCACAATGAGGCGGTGCTGGCTCTAAGAGAGGCGGGCGTGATGGAGCAGGAAACTCAGAGGTGTGGCAGGAGGGACGAGGGGATGGGAAGGGGAGTTGGCCCAGCCCCAGGATCGGTGTTGGGGGAAGAGTGGTTGAATGGACACCTCAGCAAGCTCACACGCAAAGCTACCTTGGCGCAATGAATACATGTCCCTCGGACTCAAAGCTGTTTGGCAGCAGGTATTCAAAATCTGCAACAGAAAGGTAACGTTATCCGGCGGGGGTTTGAAATGAGAGGAGAAGAAGGCTTCAGTCTCAGAATAGGACAGAAGAAGTAGAAGATGGAGGGGGGAGAGAGGGGGGGGAGGGGAGAGAGAGAGAGAGAGAGAGAGAGAGAGAGAGAGAGAGAGAGAGAGAGCTATAAACGAAAGAGGCAAAACATTTGACTCATTTTAACAAGAGAGAAAGGAGAGAATTTTTTTGGTAACTAGAATACCAAAAGTACGAGTAGGAAAGTTATAGCCAATATGTTGCCAACATTTGGAGGATTTTGATATTTCATTGCATATTTGTTAAATTCTATAATCTGAAATTAAATATATTTGGTCAATTGTATATGTATTGCTTTGGGACTAGACAGTTACATATACACATATACACACACATATATATGCTCACAATGTTTTATATATATATATATATGTATGCTTAATAGGTCATACGGGCATCTCTCTCTTATTATGATATTAACAAAGAAAAGAAATCACATGCTCTGCTCATACGGAAAGAGAATTACTAAAACAATATTTTCTAAGAAAATTATTTTTCAGGCATCAACATGGCCAAACCAGGGTCCTTTATGAAGACAGTCCAACCAAAGACTTACCCACTGGATAGAGGTAAAATGCAATGCATTGTAGAGGGTACAGCAACTGCCTTCTAGCTCACAGTGGTCTCAAAGCACTGCAATAGCCATCCTTCCCTTGTCTGGACAAGAAACAGAGCTTCCAAGATTTCATAGGAGCAGCCAAATGTAGCCAAAGCCAGCAGGGAACGGGCCCTGCGCTCTTCCGCGTTGCGTGTCCGCTGCAGAGGCTGAACGCTCATGTGGTCTCCCTCAGTTTCTGAGCCTTTTTCATCTGCGTGATGCACTTTGCTGGGAGCAGGGGGAGCTCAGTGTGCATCTGACGTCTGGTGCCCTCCAGATGTTTTGGACTACAACTCCTTTCAGCCCTTGCCTTGCTCCTGACAATTGTTTTAGTTGGCTACGTAGAACTTAAAAGGGAAGCTAGTAGACTAAGCTCTTCAGAACTCTGAACAAGAACTCTGAGGAAAATATGACTAATTAAATTTGTAAGAGGCCCTGCACCATGGAAGGAATGTGAAGAAAATCATCCCGTTCAGCAGAAAAATCAAACAGAAGAGGAGAAAAGGCATTGCTGGTGTATACGTGGCAAGTGTTTCTTTGCTTCTTTGGAAGGCTGGGGATTGGTTGTACTTCAGCAGCTGCGGGCCCTCACGCCCATGCGGCTGCCTGGTGTTGCTTCACCTGATTACGTGCCCTGTTTGCACTTCCTTCCTTTTAGATCAGCCTTCCCAGTGTGTTGCCCTCCAGATGCTTTAGATGACAGCTCCCAGCATTCCTGGCCACTGACCATGTAGGCTGGGGCTGATGGAAGCTGAAGTTTAGGGAATACTGCCCCGGATTAATGGAAACTGGGCTGGACCAGTGGCTTCACCACTTGGAAAAGCTCAGCGGACTGATACTCTGTGGTCACAATGGTCACGAAGTGAGCATTCGTGCTTGTATCGGTGCCACATGAATGATCTTCCTGACGTTATATTTGGTCAGATTCAATGTGAGTTTTCCTCCACATGATCTCTGGCCATGCTGCTTCCCTGTAAACAGGTGAGGAGCCCTTGGACTGCTGGCATCAGAAGCTATTGTGTCAAGAGCTCCAGTTAGTTCCTCATTCCAGGATTCGTATTGAGCATCCAGGAGAGTTCACAGAAGGAGTGAAACACTCCCCCGAGCTTTATACAAATGGCATGAATCCACTCACAGTTAGGGCCGGACCATCCTAACCGGCTTTTCACACCTGCAGAGGTTTACTGTGGACCAAACTGTAAGAAGGCAGTGAAAAGTGCTCCACGGTAAATAGCCAACCATCCATGCTCATGGCTCATCCTCCAATCCAGCCACATCAGTGTGTGCTTGCACCTTTTGCACCAACAAGTGCTTGTCCTTTCAGAGCCAGAGGGCAGGAACATAGTTTCCAAGGCACACCGTGCTGCGCCACGTAAAAGGGCCCCAGAGGACGGCTCAGCTGCTCAGGACTCAAAGACCGCAGGCCGCTTCTGCCAGCCGAGCCAGGCAGACAAACACAGCTGATGTGTACACACCAGAGACCTCTGATCAAGTGCTCACGACGGGCCATACCTTGCAATGGGTCCCCGACAAGGGAGAGACTCCTGTAGGGGCCACAGCAACCCCCTCCGCCTTTCACCCCACAAAATTCCAGAACGGAATACCAAGCGGAACCGGACGGGCTGCACCGCCTCATCCAGGCGTGTCTCCTTAGCGCATTCCACACTGCCCTCTTCGCTCCCTCATCATGCCATGGGCAGCTGCTGTTTTACGCTGGACTGACCCACCGTTTAAACAGAGGAACAAACGATGGCTCAACAGGAGTGTGGCTAAATCCCTGGGAGTGAAGGGTTAGGCTGAGTTCTGAGGGAAAAGAGCCTGATTCTTCTAGCTATTCTTTCCCTCACCAGTCTGCCTCCCCCACCCCCAATTCCTCTAACCCAACCACAGTTTGCCAGGTCTATAAACATCACCCCGCCAGGCACATCTGAGCTCTAATCACAATCCCCACAGCACAGCAGCAGTTAGCAATAATTAATTAACACTCTAAACTTGGCAGCAGGACAGTGACAGCTATTAAGAACACACAGAATTAATTGCATACCAGAATTTACTCTAAATTAACGGCTTAACTAACAAATGTGCACACGCACACACATGCACAAACAACTCCAAGCCATAGCAAACCATGCCAAGCAAGAATAAAAAACGGTGGCGATCCACCAGCAAAAATAGCCGTAACCACCACAAAAGAAGCCCCCTGCCCCACACACACTTTCCAAAGGGGAATAAAGTGGGGATATTATCAGTAGGAACGATAGCGCACCCTCACTGGGTGATATAAGTGCAGAGTATGTACTGGATGTACTACAACTCAGTCTAGACGGAGGCTAAATACTCAGCTTAGCCAAAAGAAAGACTCACAATAAATATACTAACTTCCAAATATGCCCACTGAGTAGCACTTATGAAAGGAGGTCACTCAGGCCTGGGGTGAACAGGAGCAGATCCCTGGATGCTTTGGACTTCCTCCCCAGGATTCCTGGCCACTGACCTGGCTGGCAGGGGCAGAGACTGCAGCTCTGTGGCGAAGCGCCTGCTGTAAGGCGCAGCAGGTTCAGACCTCAACACCTCTGGGCAGGGCTGGAAACAGTCCCGCCTGAGACCCGAGGGAGCCACTGCTGCCAGCCAGCACGTAGTCTTAGGCTAGACAGGCCAAGGGCTTGTCTTGTCTAAAAGAGCTTCCTGTGTTCTTGGAGACAAAGTCCAAACCTCTGGAGCGTTGCCTCCCGCTATCTTAGGCAATGCTCTTTCAGTGCCGTCCCGTCGGCACTATTGCCTCTGGTGAGGCATTCTGATTTTAACTGCCCTTATTGTTATATGAAGTAACTGGAATATTTACTGTACTGACTGTAAGAAACCTACACAGTGCTCCGTGTGTGTGTGTGTGTGTGTGTGTGAGACACATTTTGTGTGTTAGGCTTTTACATACTGCTGTCAGCTGAGAAGCCCTGATCTGAATGGGGCTTATTGATGCGCTGCTTTGAAGAACGGCATGAAAGAAAATCCTAGCAACTCAGCAACATTTTATCCAGAAGATGCAGATGAAGCACAGTTTGCCTTCGGGACATTTATAGGATTCTTACTCAGCTTTAAGAAACTGAAATGATCCAATTCCACTGCTTGTTTTCTGTATCTTCTTCCCCCTGAATTGCACAGTATTTTAGCTCTTCATTCAGCAGCCTGAAATCTTTGGGTCTGATATTACATGACTCACCACTGGTGTTTAAAATAACAGAAAGAAAGAAAAGTAAAGAAGAGAGAGGGATAGCTGTTGCAGGCTTTCCTCTGAAGGACACCCACCTGCTTTTGACAATGGTTCAAGCAACTTCACCACAGTGGTATTTTTGAATTACCTGGAAATTGTCCCTTCAAATATACCAATATAGAGATGCCTGGTGAGACCACAAAAACTCCGCTCCTTCCCCCATGATTGTCTCCCACAATGCATTGCAGAACATATGTGGCCCTTCGTCAGGGCAGCACAGCCATAGGTTGGACTGTTGTTTTTGAACAGGACTGTAAGGCAGGGTCTGAATACAAGCCAATGAAAGGAGGAAGAGGAAAGGAATACAGAAACACTAAGTAATTATTCCATCAGCATTGCCATTACAGGGTCACCGGGAGCAGGCAGCTCAATGCTGATAGAACAGGGCTGAGGACGACAGACAGCACCCTTGTGCTTGAGACCAGTCTCCACTGATAGCTCCGTGGTGCCAGCGGCTACCCACACGGATGGCGTTGCTTCCTTGTCTTGTGCTCGGGGCATCCATTCACCTTTCTATCTGCCTATAGAATGCTCCCCTCCCATGCTTAAGCCATGGAGCCCTACTTAGTTAGGTGAAGTGGTTCGTATGGGAGTCAATTGGAGCAGCTCGCTGATTCCTGATCCATTGCTCTAGGCATCCCTGGGGAGGCAGGGATGAGGGAGATGGTCCCCTCGTTTGTTCTTTGGAGACAGCTCTCCATTTCAGGTTCACTGGCTTTTGTGTGGCTCAGGGCCTAACGAGGAGCCTTCCTTGACCATCATTTCATGTCGCATGGCATTTGCTGTCGACTGATTTAATGGACTTTGCCATCACAGGTGATTTTAAATGTCAGTTTTACATTGGTATGGCTGACTGACCATGGAGACCTCGAATGACGGCAGTACCTGAGAGCATGTTTGGCCTCGTCGCTGCTTTAACTGGACAGGATTAGATGCCAATCACCATCTTCATCTGACTCAGGCCAGTATACATTGTATAAGACTGCCTCGTTCCCCGCTGTTGGCTTTTTGCTTTTGCCCCTGGGTGGTCTTTCCAAACTCTGTTCCTTTTCTGTCCTTGCCATATAGCTGGATGGAAGTGCTACAGCTGATACTAAAGGTCCATACTCATTAGTAACACAGAACCTCATTAGGGAAATGTGAGAATTTCATTTATGTTCATGAGCCATGTGAGCATGTTCCATCTGCACCTGCAAACATAAAAGCGAGCAGCAGAACATATTCTCAAAAAATGCTCATAGATGATCGAACTTGTGTTCATGCTCAAAAAATGTGCTTTTCCACACGAGGAGAAAGTGTGCATTTCTGGTACACTCTCCCAAAATACGCATTTTCCTGTTTGAACAAAATGAAGAAAGAGCACAAACAAACAGAGCAAACAAAGCAAGACAAGCATGAAATTGGTGTTCAGAGAATTTGGGCCATCACAGAAATGGCTTGTTTGTCCATCTCCAACCCTAATGACACTGCTGGAAACAGTGTCCCTCAGTGCAGACTTAGAGCAGCAGCAGGATATTGCAGGAGAGATTTACGAACTCAACTATGGAATATAATTCCAGTCGACTTTGGAATTTTACTGTGGAAAACTTCCAGGACTCCGAAAGATCTCCTGCTATTTGTAAGTTCCATGTACACAGATTGATAAATGTGGTAGGTGTGTGTGCTTGAGGTTAAGGACAGCAAATCCTGAAGTGCAATCATTCTGCAATTCTTAGGACATGACCATGAGAAAAAGGGAGGAAAGAGAAACCTATAAAGGCCCAGGCCCTATTCAAAATGCTTGCCCTTCTTAGTTTTTCCCCCTAGAGGATGTAGAGCAGTTCCTGCCCAGTTCATGGGGAAAGACTGTGATTCGATTCCAAAGGCGCTGGAGAGCAAGCTTCATTCAGTTATCTGGGAGTAGCAGGGTCCTCACTCCCTGAAGAATCACAGGGCGGGCGGATGCTAAGGACCTGTAGCTGAGGCTGCGCTTAGTAAGGGCCGCTGCTATGGACAGCATTGCTGTCTGGGAGCAACTCTGACCTGCACGCACTGTGCACCTGTCTGAGGTTTCTGCTTTTCTTGGGTTCGGTCAGCCTGAAAAGTTTGCTTGCGGACGTGCCATGTCCAAACACTCCTGAGCCTGAAGGTCTCTGCACAGCCCTGTCCCATTCAGGTTGAGTTGTCTTTCAGAGGAAGGTAAGCACAGGGACAAGGATAGGTGAGAGAGATTTGTTGGGGAAGTGTGAGACAGGGGAGGAAAAGGGGAGACAAAGTGGGGTGGGAGGTCTTTTTGCAGGGAGGAAGAAGAGCAGGATATTAAACTAGCTACAAAAAACCTTGATTCAATTCAAACATAACAATTCCATATGAAATTGGCTCGTCTGTAACGATACCGGACTGAGTCTCTGAGCAATGCACGGGGAAGGAGTGGGGAGATCAGTAGTGGTGAAGCTATTATGAACATAACAAGACATGTTGCTTTCAGATAAAGGGTGAAAGAGTGGACAGGGGGGAGTGGAGGAGGAGGAGGAGGAGGAGAGGCGGAGGAGGAGGAGGCGGAGAGCAGGGGAGGAATGGTTTGGTGGCAGTTCGCAAGGGAAGGCGTGGCAAACGGGCAAGGTAATGGGCAAGCAGGCCGGGTGAGTGGCGAGGGGGAGTGGTGAAGGTCTGGAGTGAGGGTGGGGGTACTGGAGACGGGTGGGGAGAAGGGGGTGGTGGAAGGGTTGTGGTCTAAGACTGAAAATACTTGCCCTTCAATTTGCTTGGTACTGTGTGAATCCATCAGAGAGAGAAAGCAAGAAAAAACAAACAAAAAACAGAAAACAAAAAAGGGGGTTGGGTGGAAAGGGGAAGGGGGTACAAACAATATTTTATTCAATTGCTGTTTGAATAAAAATATTGTGTATCATAATCATACCGAAAGGAAACCTCTTGCAAAAAACGACATGGAAAAGAAACAAAAAGAAGAAAAGTACCAATAAAAAGGCCACAGTAATAAAATAATAAAAATGTATAGATATAACTAGATATATATTATATAATCAACATAAAAATGAAATTCAGTAGCAAACAGTTTGCAACAGTCTTGATATAGAAATGTTCTTACTGAGTTAGCAGACCATGCAAAATTCAAGATTTAACAAAGGACACACATAGAGACAGAAGGAAAGGAAACAAAGGGGCAGAGGAGAGGAGGAAGATAAAAGGGTTCTGTGCCTGCATGTGAAGCGGGTGGGGCGTAGCCGTCATTAGTGAGCCGATCTAGGGTGTGTGGGAGCCTTGGAAGCAGCCCCACTTGGAGAGAAGGCCTGGCTTGATTTTTAAAAATCCTTGAACCCTCATCATCGTCTGCAAATAAAGCCAGGTCAGGCCTTGCCATTCTGTGTGGGGAAACCACTTTGCAAGTCAGCCATGATGACTTTTACAAAGAAAAACCTGCCAAAATGATGCGAGTGACCTTCTGAAGAGCAAAAGCAGCCGTGTAGCTCAAGAAGAAAATGTCACATCTGCATATTAAACCGAATGCAACATTTAGGAGAAGGTCTGTGGCACAGAGGCAGAGCAGCTGCTTTCCATCCAAGAGGCCCCCAGTCCAATCTCTGGCACCTTCAGTGAAAGACTCTGGTCGGGAACCTTGAAGAGTGACTGCCAGTCAGTGTGGCGACGAGACAGAGCTGGACAGAGTCCACATACGGCAGCTATCTATGTTCTAACACGTGGGGCCAGAGACCAACTGCAGGTTGTCCCACTCAGGCTGGATCGTGCCCACCTCATCAGTGCTGAGTGGTACATGCTGCTGCTGAATGGGAAACGGGAACTGACAAGTGTTTGCGGCCACCCACAAAGCCCCGGGCTGGGTGCCAACTCTGCGGAATGCCGTGCGAGTCACAAGGGGTCATCCAGGTCTGCTTACAGCGTTGACGGAGCCCTTCTTTCCCATTTCATTGCGGATCTTGAATGAGTCAACTGCAGATTTCAGAGAATGAAGGAGGGAAGGTACTTCTAGAATGTATTCTCACAAGTAAGGGCCTCAGGCGGTGGCTCTGTAACACAGATATCTTCCCTCAAGGAAATGACAAAAAATCAGAGGCAGTCCCCAGAGCAAGGTCTCAGGAAGAGCTTCAGGGAGGAAAGGCGTCCTTTGTCCCAGGTGTTTGTTCTCCCTCCGATCAGATGGGACAGCAAGAGAGAGAAGAGAACAGATCCAATGGAACACACAGGAAACCCTCTCTGATGGCTGGTACAGTTCTCTCATGAGCATGGAGGTATTTGTCAAAGGGGCTCCCGAGTCAATCTGGCAGGCTAAGGGACGGCCTGCGCTAGAAGCCTTCTGCCTTACTTGGCAACTTCTTGTGTGGATGGAATGCACAACATCACATTATCTTCAAAACAGCAATTAGTGAGGTTGTACCATGTGCACCATCAAACTGTTTGAGTGAGTTTGGTTTCACCTTTATGCTTATGTCATCTTGAATATAACTCCAGAATTCAGGATTATCTTTGTTTCAGAGATAAATGATAGCCAACATAGCAGGTGGGACATGATTAACATACTCCTGCTTAGTTGTCAATATGCCTTTCTGGATGTAGATTTTCAAATAATTTGTTACAGGGAATTTCAATATTTTTAAACAGGTGTAAGTCCTACTGAGTTGGATGGAATTTACTTTCAGGTAATGGACTGCAGCTGAAAAGCACAATCTGATGGATGTTTAAAACTCCCAGCATTCTCCAGCCAGTGTGGCTGGCTGGGGAATGCTGGGAATTGTAGGTCTTGTTCCCATCTAAACATGCACAAGATGGTGCTCTTATTGTCTTTAAGTACATGGGTCAAAGCCTATTGAAATAAAAGTTGGGACTACCAAAAGACTTAGAAGATGTTGGGGCAAGGTTATGTTAAAACAGCATCAGTTAATATATAGTCTACTAAAGAAATATTCTCTACTGAGGAGGAACTCCTCTTAGCATGAAGTTGTGAGGAGCTACAAGAAAAGTGGTGTGGGTGTGGAGTAGGGGATTTACATAAGGCAAGGGGAAAAGAAAGAGAAGGATGAGAAGGAGAGAGGTCACAGAGACAGAGGGAGAAACACAGGAAGAGAAAGTGAGGCAGCCAGAATCACTCAGAGCAGGATGTCGGGGCTCACGGGAAGCCCCTCACACCCTGTGATGAGGGAGAAGAGCCCAGGGTCACACACAAGGGGAGACTAACACACTAGTAGACAGACTAACCACAAATCAGTTAGGAAAAACAAACCAACCAACCCAAAATTGAAATAAAAATAAGGATGGTTTAAAGCAAATTTAAAACGGAACAGAAAGAAACATGCGAACTTTCCCAGCTTTCAAATTAACTGGCTGCTACAGAGTTTATCATCTAGTACATAAAAAGCATATAAAGGAGCAACTCAACCTCATCTCCCCTGGATGTTTTTAAGGCTTTATGCCAAGTATCACGGGGCATCTCCACATCCCTGGAAAGCCTGCATTATTTTTCCAGGAATCAAATGAAACCTCCTTCTATGTGTGGGGCAGTTGTCATTTTTCATTTCATAAACTTTTTTTTAAAAACGGTTTTTATATCACAAGACTGGCATTCCATTTTCTCCTGTTAGTCATCCTTAGGCTAGCTGGTAGGTTCGGGGTCAAAGGGCATGTGAGAGGTTGACAGGAAAAGGAAAGTGTCTACTTACACTTCACCTGAAGAATCTGGTCACTTAGGTTAGCTCGGATGTAATAGGAGCTGTAGTGTGGCAAAACTAAACCTAGGCTGGTAAAGGGGAAGGAGGAAAAACAGTGTTTTCAAAATGACTGTGACCACATTTGCAACAGCTTGTCTAGACACCAGCAATTGCTGGGCGAGTGAAACAGAAATGAAACACAAGGACCACCCGGCAGTACTATGGTGAGCAGATAACCAAATCCCAGGATGGCCTTTCCCTAGGTAATGAAGGCAGCATAGGTGTGCTTGATGTACCAGCATCTCAAAAGGTGCTTGCCTGCTGGATAAACTAAGTACCTAACACAGAGCAGTTGCTGGAAGCACATTGGGCTGCATCCAATTCAACTCCTATGTAGAGTAGGCCCATTGAAATGAATGGGACTTATGCTAGTTGCCACTAACTTAGGTTTCCTTCATTTCAATGGGTCTGTTCCATAAAGGAGAAACACTGGATGCTACCCATTGAAACCAAGCGCTGGGTGCTATGCTGCTGCTGTTGCCTCCACTCTTCCTCTGGGTTAGCCACTAACCGCCAGACCTGAGGTGGGAAGCAGATGGTTCTGGCTTAGCAAAGGGCATGTTCTTCTGCCAGGCAGCCCCGGTGTGCTTCTTTCACTGGCAGACACTCTTGCAGCATGGAGAGTCACCCCTTGGACATGGGGAGGAGGTAAGGATGGACTATGGCACGGGCAGTATGCGCACAGGCGCATGGTCCTACAGACACAGCTCCAAGGAGGCAAGCGCAGGCACACGCGCCTCTGCCTGAGCCTCCAAAGAGCCACGTTGTCAAGGCCTCCTCACGACTGGACCCAAACATGTTGGCTCACAAGTGCGGTGTGCAGCAGATCTTTCAAAAAAAGAGGGTGCATCTGCAGACTCATGATAACCTCGAGAGATTTCTTGATTGGATTCTCCAGGGTAATAAATCCCAAAGGATCAGGTAGTTTTTTCTAGACCAGGCAGTTTTTTCCTGCCTAGGTTAAGCATCACATCAGCTGCACCAGGAAATCCCTGGGGAATAAGTATATTTGCAACAGGCCACTATGCACTAGATGGCAGTCTCACTCAATAAGTTCAGGTTTGACAGCTCAGACAGTAGGAACATGGCGCTTCCTGATGCGATGCAGGCCAGCTCCCTCATTTATGCTACAAGCAGAAGATACAGAAATAGGCATTTGCCTTAAAGTGCATGCTTGGTCCCTGGGAAGGGCATTGTGCACTGGAAACAGGCGCACGTTTCCATCCCACATTACATTTCTACACATCTTAAGTTGATGTGTGCACAGAATGATATGGAGTGCACACTCCTGCCAGAGATGTTGAAGCACCTTCTGTGGGCCAGCTCCTGCAGGTCCCCTGCTCCACAGCCCCTTCTTCTCCACAGCCCCTCCTCTCACTGTAGCTGCAAGAGTGCCTCTGCCATGCGTCCTGGTGTGCCGCTGGTTTTTGTATTTGTCTTGCTAAGAGCATGTTATTTTCCATCCTGGGCTAGAGCTTGTTTTTAAAAGAGGGACTTGTGTGCGTGCGTGTATGTTTGGGGGCAGTACTTTTCAAAACAATCAGAAAGGGCATACTAATATCCCATTATAAATCTTCCGATAAAGGTTCTTTGGCTAGCATTCCAATGCCTCAACAGTAGGATTCTGAAAACCAAGATTAAATGGCAAAATCTCATTAAAAAGCAAGCCTTTCATTAAGAAAGCCAAATATAGTCCTTCTGTTTCTCCTGACAGATTAAGTGGAAAAAGGTTACGGCTGCACATATCCTAGAGCAGGGCTGCAGAACCTCAGTTTTGGGGTACCAATCCAGTCCTGCCCTATTTCCTCAACCAGCCATCACTGGGGGGCTTCCTGGCCTTTGTGCAGTGCCTTCCCCATTCTGAAAGGTTGAAATGCCTCCCCTGGAGCCTAGTGGCCAGCCTGGCAACAAGCACTTTCGGCTGAAACACGCTGGTTGTCCCCCTCTGTCCGATTGTCTTCAGCCAGGCGCACCACAGGAAGGCAGCCCCGAGAGCGCCTCCAAAATGGAATCCAGCCCTTGGGCTGGAAGAGGTTCTGCTCCTGGCCCAAAGGCTGGGACACACAGAAGCAACCAGGTGGGCTTCCCCTGCCCGTTACCTTCCTACCCGTTGCTGTACATGGTGGAAGTGAGAGATGTCAGGGTTCCTGCACATGATGCACTGGCAACAATGGATTGGAGCGTGAAGGGGCAATCCAGGCAGTATCTCCTCACCGCCTCTTTCTGCTTAGACCTTCCCCCCGAGCAGCAGCCTGGGCTCCGAGTCTGGTGAGGAGTGGCTTGCTGGATCTCTCGTGCTAGTGGCACTGGGGACAGAGGAGCTGCAAACTGATCCAGGCCCAGCCCCTGAGCAGACCTCGACGTCTTTGTGTTGGAGGCTTTTGAACCAGAGGGCCTTGAATTGGGAGCTCTGGCATCTGTCGCCTAGGACCTTGCACCCAGAAGAAAGCAAACCACTGCATACGAAGTGTGCACACTCCTGTTGGCTTCTCAGCCCAGGCAAGACACCAGGAGGGAATTGTCCAAGAGGAGGGGAGCGAGGCTCCTAGAGAGATGCCTGCTCCTGTAAAGCTTTCTGCTCCTCAAAGAGCCTGGGAAGCGTGAACTGGCCCTTGAGGAATGAAAGGTTCCCATTCAAGACTTGATCTGACAGGACAAGTTGCTCACTGGGAGTCCTTAGCAGGGCCCTCTTGCCCAGGCAGGGATGCCATCGTTGCAATAGGGCTTGAAAGATGCTCTTGCAACCCACATTGCAACACATGAAGAATGTACAGCTGAAGAGTTTGGTGGATCCTGCTCCTGTCCCATGGAATTCGTTGCCTGAGCCAACTACAAACTCTCCCAATTGCTGGCCCCAAGGAGAGGGATGGGCAAGTTGTGGCTCTTTTGGCATTTTGGCTTACAACTTCCATCAACCCTCGCCACTGGCTATGCTGATTAGAGCCCATGGGAGTCATAGGCCAAAACATCTGCAGGTCCAAGTGTTGCCTACCCCTGCCCAGCCTGAGAGACTCACATTCCCTTCTAAAGATGCCCCTTCCGATTCTGACACATTTTATTACCATCCACAGTGAAGACTCATCTGAATAGGACAAGAGAAGTTCTTCCTTGCTAGTTCTTTACCTGTAGTTTGTGCTTTTGATAGGTGCCCAGGTATATGTCCTGTAGACTTTGTCTATGTACCTCTGTAGGTTCAAAGTGAAAGAAAGAAACAGTCAGAGCTTATTCATTATGTACCTGCATTAATTATACTTAAAATACTGTGAGCAATGCTTCTGTAAAATTATCAAGGCATCATAGAAAAATCTTAAATCTATAAATATAATTCCACATTTAAAATTAAAGAAAAAGTGAGATAGGCTCAGTCGGTCAATCCCAGCTCATCATCTTGCTGTAATATTCTACACCAATGGAAATTTTCAAGAAATATTCAAAGTCATCTCCACATACAATACATTGCTGCAATCTAGCCTCAAGGTGATCAGAACAAGAATAACAGTGCTCTGGTGATTTGTATTTAGGAAGGGTAATAATTGGAGTACCAGCCCAAACTGGTGTAAGACCATGCACTTCTGTATGCCACGCACTTCCACAGCTCTGCCTGAATCCCGTAAAAAGGAGAAATAGAGCTGGGTCCCATCAACAAATCGAGGACCCTGCACCACAACCGCCAAATGGCCTCACATTGTGGCTCCATGTCAACAGGGAAAAGCTTGAGAGAGAAGATGGAGCTCTGTGGGACTGTGTGATAACCACCTCTATTTTGCACAGGTGTGCAGTGCCACCGTAAGGCTCGGGGGTCTGGGTCCACTTCACTGAAGCCCTGGCTCCTGAATACACAGTTGCCCTGTGCTTCATGTTCCAAGCAATAGTGTCCAGCACTTCCTGTGACAGATGCCACTGAAAGTCCTGACAGGTGCAGCTGGACAAGAGCAGTCACAATCTGTCATTTCTGCCCCTGCACAGGCCACCCATCAGTGAAATCAGTGCCATTTCTGTGCCAAAACTAGGCCTGAGACAAGACAGAACTAGATCATCAGTTTCATGCAGGAGTGATTAAACATGCCCAGCAAGTTCCTGCTCAAGCACCTTGACCAAGAATGGGCATTTTGTGAGTGGCCAACAGTTGTTTTAATACCTGGGATCCCAGCAATGTTTCTTAAGGAGTGGTTTTACCACTGCCTCTCTACAGGTTGGGAATCACATGCTGGACCTAGCCCATCATTCCCTTCCCATGAGATGTGATGAGCTAGGAAGGGCAAGAGTACAGGTGGCTGGCTGTGCTCCAAGCACCTTGTCCACATCCTCAGACTTCAACAAAGTCATCCAACAGAATCAGGCCAGACAGCCACTGGATGCATCCAAAGACTGTACTGAAGAACGAAAGGAGCTGAGGCTGTGGCGAATGCAAGCAATGTTATATTCAGCAATAAGTCACAGAGGGCCTCTGAAGGTTTTATTCTCCCCTGGAAGGCAAGCTGGAAAACCCCCTGAACCTCACAGGAAAGCACTCGGAGGACGTGATGCTGGTGAAGTATCGCTTCTTAATGCCCATTGCAGCCTACAGAAAAGGTGTGATGGGAAGCTTTTACTTGTGTGCTGTTGGACTCACTGTTGAGTCCGCCAACCTCTGTGTTCCAGCCATCTTTCCAACTGCCTCACTGTCCTTGGCTACTCAGAACGCCAAGGAGCAAATTGGATCCTAGTCAACAGAAGAAGGTGGTTAGGAGCAAACATGGCAACCCCCTGAGCCATCTTCATGACCTACCAGGTGACCCAGGTTTTTAACAGAAGTGCCAGTGATGAAGCCACTCAGACACTTCCCAAGGGATCTCTGGAATCAGTTTGGAAACATCACCACAGAGGAAAACCAACATTTTACTATGAAGTGGTCTGACCATGACACAGAGGTAAACAAACTCCTCTAATCCAGATCACCATCCTTCCCAGCTAAGGACAGCAGGTCCAGCGCGATCTGCCTAATGTATCAGGCCAGTGATGTGTTGGGGCAGCTCCATGGATGCTGTGACAGCCACAGGGCTAGAGCTGCCTTTGGCAAGGTGAGGTCAGCTTGAGGTCTTCTAGAACCGCAAGCCTCAGGGTCCTCAATACAAGGTCCAAGGCCATGGGGTCTCTGTCATGTCAGGCAGGGAGTCTGCTAGGCAGTGGGATGACAGACACAGTAGCAAAGACCCTGAGGACACAATTCTTGCAAGTCCTGATTATCTAAGACTAGAGAATTTTGTTCGGTTTGCATTTGGCAGAAGCTGACCAAATTTATACAGGGTGTGGCAGAAATACCTCCCACATTTATGCAAGTGCCAATGATGTCTTCATTTAGCTAATGACTTCCCGTTTTTTTCATATACCCACATCTAGCAACATGGTTTGGACTGGTGCACAGCGTGCTTTTGCTGCAGAAACGTCGCTGAAGAATGGTGAATCTGTAATTGCAACACAGAGAACTTTTCGAACTCATTACATGTTAGGTCGGAATGCTGTTCCGGATAGAAAAACAATACTGCTATGGGTTGCAAATGTCAGAGCCACAGGTTCAGCACTTTAAAAAAAAGTCACCTGGAAGACCTCGAAGCGCTCGTGCTCCAGAAAGCATTCCAGCTGTGAGACTTTCTGTTACTCCGTCTCCTACACGTTCAACTCGTAAACATGCTTCTGCCTTGGGATTGTCTGATCGAACAGTCAGAAGAATTCTACACACGGATCTGACATTCCATCCATACAAATTAATGATCGCTCAGAAACTGCACGAACACGACTGGGAAGTCCGCTTGTCGTGCTGTGACGATATCCTTCAAAATGTTCCTGCAAATGCTGTTCTTCTCACAAGTGATGAAGCTCACTTTCATCTCTCAGGCTTCAGAAATCGTCTATAACAGTGTATAGTGAATAGAGGCCACCATTTGCAGGATGTAATTTTTAAAACCAAATGAATAAAAACTGTAACACTTTGTTTAAACAATAGTGAAATTAATTTTTAATAAATGTTGTTTCTTTCTCCTTTTTTTAACCTTTAAAATGTGGGAGGTATTTCTGCCACACCCTGCACTTCATGAACTGGGATGTGAATTGGGACATAGTTTTTCTCATGGATGATGCACCTCTGGGCATTTTGCGATGCAGATCTTTGTTTAAAAACGCATGAATGTACACATACTAGAAAAAATGAGTACATAAATGTACACAGTAAAGAAAATAGCATTCAAATATGATGCAGGTAGTGTCAATCGCTAACCAAAATGTGCACATTAGGAAGAATCACACACAAAGATATGTAGCTTAGAACATGATACATTAAAACAGTGTTTTTCGTCCTAACTGAAAAAATACTCACACTCACAAACACTTACAAATCTATACAGAAATGGCATAGAAAGAATTTGTTACTGAAAAAAACAGAAGTGAGAGAAAAGTGAGATGGACCGATTCTTTCATCCCTAACCAACACCAGTGGCAAGTTCTCCAAAGCAGACCCAACTGGACATGAACACTGGAGAGGAAAAAGGAGAGGGAATTTTTTATGAATCACAGAAATCCCATCCTGCTCCACCTCATCAGCTTTTGGCTTATGTTGACATTGTACCAAAAATAAGATGGACAACTTGAAATAAATCACCTCTCAGCTTGTCCACTTGCATTTTGGTAAAGCCCTGTACGGCTGCTGCTTAATTTGAATTGAGCTAATGTTAAAAAATTAATACTAGAAGGATGGAAGGAAGGAAGATCAGCAAAGCAACTGAGGAACTCAAGTGCCTTTGGCTGGAGGAAAGTCTGGAAAAGGAGATAAATATTATGACCTCCTTTGCCTTAAGAGGGTTGTGTAATTCCCACCAGTATCTCTGCCTAAAACCACCAAAAAAGGGGCACTTCTACTCATTGCCAAATCAAAACTGCAAGAATGAGTACGTCCCATCCACTCTCAAAAACACCACAAATAGATACTAAAATAGCAGCCTAGGATGCAAGATTTCCTTAAAGCTTGATGGTAATAGGACTTTTTCCAAGGCACCACCAATTTTTCCACACCAGATGTATTAATGGGAGGTACCAAATAGCTCTGTGATAGAAAATGCTTGCACAGGGATGTACGTTCAGTCTAGAGCATCTTCAGATAAAGGAAATCAGGGAGCAGGGTGAGGAGAGGTCTTAAGGTCTTTGAAAGCCATTATCAGACAGAGGGAACATACTGGGCTAGATCAGAGGTAGGATGTCAGGTGCCCGCCAAATGTTTTGGACGACAGCTCTCCTAGTCCCTGTCCCCTGGCCATGCTGGCTGGCTCTGGATTATGGGAGTTGTAGTCCAAAATAGTTGGTGGGCACAAGGTTGCCTCCCCTTGTCAAAATGGGTCAGTAGTTTAACTTGGTATAAAGTAGCATCACATGTTGTATGTTCCCTTCCGACCTTCCTGCACTTCTTTCCCATGAACTATAATTACAGTCTTTCAAAAATCTGACAGCACAGACCTTCTCTCTCATATTCTCTGAGCTTTCCCAAAGTCCTCGAAAGGTTTTTACCTCATCTTGGGACTTGACCAGAGTCTTGATGTATCGATGATCTTTCATTCCATCAATCATGCTTCTCCGGATCTGGAGAGAGCGAGAAAACATGCAGGGGGATTGGGTATCACGCAGTGCTGAGGACCAGCGGTAGCACGTGGGAAGTTCAGTTCACTTGTCAAGAAAAGCTGTATAAAACTATGAGACAGGCAATAAAAATGGAAATTGTTCCCATGTTCTCCATCTAGATGCTGAAGAAGTCAAGAGTCTTGGCTTTATTAACAGAAGAACCTTGACCTCGGATGCTTTGTACTTAGTCCCTTCCTCCTCTCCCTCTGCTGTGTCTTTGAATTCTGCCATAATCTCAGGTTCTGCATATGTTATTACCCAAGGAGCCCATCCCTCTGCGAGATCTGTCAGAAATGCTGGGATAAGTGGGCACTCCTCTAAATGCTGTTTCATGCAGGACAGACTTTGTGTGCAGATGCCCCAAACTGCACGTAGCATGGCATTTACATGGGGCAAGAAGCCCTGTCGAGTGGTGGGTGATGTTGGCATATTGCAAAACACACAGGGCATATGCAGTTTTCTGCACAAAACTGTAAGAAATGACTGGGATACGTCTATGTCACTGCCTGCGACAACGCTTGCTGAATGGCTCCTGTCATCATGTCAGCACCCAGTTTACTAAGGAGGGTGGACTAGCGCCTGGCACCATAATGGGGCACATCTGCAAAGGAAATAATAGTGGTGGCACCTCCATTCGCTGGCCTCGGCACAGGGCTACGAGGACACCATGAGCCTGTTTACGTGTCGAGTAGGGCTTTGCCCACATGCTTTGAATTAACGGCGACGCATGAATGGGGCTGCCATCTCTAGTACGCCACTTACTTCCTCCTTGTTCTCATCCTCCAGTTCAGCATCAAGGAAGTCCAGTGTCACCGGTTCCTGGAAATTAATGATCTGGAAGGGAAAAGAGATGATGAGTTTGGTGAGAGGCTCAAACCATTGTCTGGTGAACTGTAAGCATGTTGAAATCATCCCAGTTTTAGCCCTTCTCACAGCATGGATGGCATGAGGTCTTGCCACTCATCGCATATGGGGCATGTTCACATGTAAACTGACCCTGACAATAAGTCATGTGAACAGCCCGCAGTGACCATGACACCATCGGTTGCTGGCCTCTCTTTCTCCACTGGTTCTCCCACAGGCATCCCCGGGAACACTGTAGGAGGCGTGAGGAATTCCTGCAGTTTCCGATCTGCCGCGGCTTTTTCCCCCTTTACACTTTCCCCCTCGCAGAGATCCTGAAAGCTGGCTGCTCTGAGCAGCTCCTTCAAAAAGCCCCAGAGGAGGCAAGGCTGAACCATTCACAGCTAGATAAAATCCACAGGTGCCCAGGAAGCCACCATCCATCTGTGTGCCAGGAGACCCTGTTATCTGGAGTTGTCTGTGTCAAAAGGGATGCACGCCTTTTCTTGAAGGGAGGCATTTCTGCAAAAGTTGATGGGGCTCAGGCTGAACACGCTGCAAATACAAGGAGCCCGGAGGGTGGCTGTGGTCCTACTGCACCGAGCCACTGAAATGGTTATTGATCGGCACAGGACCGACGTGGTTAAATAAATTGCTGTGGTTTCCGTTCATCTCTGACATGTCGCCTGCCTATTAATAATGCCAATGAACTCAGCTGGAAGTTTCTGCCAGTAAAACATTTCTCACTTTGATCTGTGCCATTTCTCAGAGCCCTAATACCTGGCTGGCCTTTTAGTGACAGATTTATTTGACTAGTATCCAAACGGGAAGCCTAGATCCCCCTGCCCCATCCAGATGGATACACAGCTTCCCCGGAGATAAATTAGCCCAGGGCTCCTCATTCAAGCCTTTTCTTTTGTTTAATATCCCAAGGATGTAATATTTCATAAAGGGGTCCAGTTAATTCCTGCCAATCCCTGCCAGGAGTGGAGGGGGAGTCTATATATCACATTCGCAAGACATGCCAATTAATGCTGTGTGGCTAATAGGAACACCATTTCCTGCTCCAAGCCAAGCACAGCAAATGGGTCCCAGCACTGGGGTGGTGAATAAGCAGATGAAACTGGATTCATCGGCTCCCTGAGTGTCTGGGATCAATCCTGCCCAGTCTCCCCAGTCATCGTTTATCAGCCATGTTAGAAAAATCGTGTTGCATAAACACAAACACGGAGGATAAGCAACAGAGAGCACAGCTGGGACCAGCTGATTAGGCTCTTCCATGCACAGGGCATGCTCTGCTTGGGATTGTGGGGCTGCAGGACACCATCAAAGGGCCACTGGCTGATAGTTAACTATGGCATTCCCAGAATATGGGCGATTTGCTGCTGAAGGGGATTGTGCCTCCAGGCCGACTCGCTGGCTGGCTGGCTGACGCGTAGGACACCCAGCCCCTCTAGGGTCAGCGGGCTTTGCTTGCACTGAGGTAAATGGGTATGTGTGAAGGATGCAGTTATGGGCAACTCTGGTGATGCTCTGATATTCTGCCTTGGAGAATTGGCCACTGGAGATGTTCCATCTGTTGACAGAGCCCTATGGTGCAATCCAGTGCATGCTTACGCAGAAGTAAGCCAACTGAATTCATTGGGACTTCCTCACAGGTAAACGGGTATAAGATTGTAGCCTAAATCTTCCACTTTTTGGAAAGAGGGATTTTGACAACAAAGACATTTTTGGACAACACAGAAAGGGGGGTTATATTTCATATGTTGATTCAGAATAACCAACCCAATCTTGGGCTGGAAGCCTAATTTAAAATATTCCATGACCGATCATCTGTTCTCAGGAGATATAATGTTCAGGAATGTTCTCTGACAGACATCACAGCATATTCTTCCACTTAGCAATTTAAAAGAAAGCTCTGAAAGTCTGTGCAACTACAGTGAAGATAGTGGAATATCAATTTGGTTGAAGATTAATATTCAAAATTCTGTGTTGCAGGGAGACTGGATGGAAATCAAGAGGGCAGAAGACCAGAGAGACAAATGTGTAAGTCTTCCCAAGAGGCGCAGGGAAAGGCAGGATGGGTGCACGACATTTGTGGGAAGGGGAGGGGCCAGAGTAAGTGCAGCGGGCTGAATTTCACATACAGATTTTAAACAATTAGACAAAGCTTTGTCTGTTAGTCAGTAATAATAGCCGTCTTCCACATCTTATGGGGAGGGTGCACTGCTGATTTCAGGTAGCAGGTTTACTTTGCAGTTAGAGGGCGGCATGTGGTGGTAAGGGCTCAGTGGTGGATCAATGCGGAGAGTGCGCTTGTTTGTGACAGCTGCTTGTATACGCTTTCAATCTGATGGCAAATTGCCACCACTAACATTTCCACCCAACTCATTAATTCCCAGCAAGACAGCACTAAATAGCTGCCGTTAGGCAGATGCATCCACAATTGACACAAGAGCAAGAACGGAACAGGTCACTGTTTATCACATTTACATTTGAAGGAAGAATGGCAACGGCCTATGGATATTTTCCCAGGTGCTTGTCAGGACGAAAAGCGGGAACAGACAGCGGATAATGCCACATATACACATGTGTTGCGCTGGCAGCTAACACTTTGGGACAAATGAGATGGGAGTGATCAAAATCTTTTGTTAATGATGGTGGGTGAACAGTAAGATCCAGAGGAGAAGAAAACTGCCCTTACCTGGGGTCGCAAATTTGGGTGTAACAACACATATCCATTCAGATCGATAGCGAATACGTAGCCGTTAGCCCCTAACTGGATGGGAAGACAAAAAGAGAGGGGTTTCTAAAGAGAAATAAATAACAGCTCAAATAGCAAAGAGAGGAAAGAGCTGAACTGTATTAACGTTTTCATGCCATGATTAGAAAGGAGGCTACCGATCTCACTACCACCACTTCCGCCCCCTCCTCTTCCACAGAATCCTGACCCCCAGCATGGGACAAACATTCACAAGGCATTCTAACTTAAGAGGGAGGACTTCTAGTGCTGTTTGTACAGAAGAGGGCCCCTCGACAGTGGGCAGGTGGGGCTGATTTGGTGTGGGAGTGAAGAAAGCGACGAGGATAATTCTGTCCAAAGCTAAGCCTGGTGCTTATTCTCAGAGAAGCCCATCGTCCCTGCCTGCACGCTTTTTAACACGGCTGAGCCCATGAGGAGGCTGATGTGTGCACAGATTCCATGCTAGGGAAGGTGATTTACGCACATTGTATCGCGGCGTCAGCTTCTTGATATCATTCAGCACCACATCAATCCCCACAACACCCAGGATGAGCTGATTCTGGAAACACCAAACAACAAAGGTAGTTATGTTCAAATGAGAAATCACAACGGCGCAGGCATAATCCACTGGCAGTGAAAGCTCTGTATATCCCGACTGTCTCTGCTCCAAAGCAGTGCTGGGCAACCGGTTCTTTTTGTCTGGGGCAGTCGGTTGGCGGCTGTGGTGGGCAGTGCTGAAGCTATCAGCCGGCAGTGGGTAGGGCCAGAGGCAAGGGTGTGCAGGCCCCTCGTTTCCCAGTTCGGCCACCCTCTTTGCTTCCCCTTTCTGCCCAGTGGGCTGCCGAGCGAGCGTCAGGACATGTGTGCCAGGGGTCCGGGCTGGCTGTGTGAAAGGAGGCTGAAGGCCTGCATGCAGCCCAAGGCTGCAGGTTGCCCTTCCCTGGTCTGAAGATAAGGGTGGCCAAGGCACAGCCTAGCTGCATGGCCAGAAGCCTAATGCTCATGAAAGAGGAGGAAGATCCTCTACCAGGTGAAGAGCTGGTAGAGCGACACTTCACTCTTGCAGAGGTTTCACTTCTTGAACTCCTAAGTATTGCCCAGGTGACTGTCCTTTAATTTCTACATGTTCTAGAAGATGACCAAAATGACATTGCATTCATATCCCAGCATTTTCTTCTTGTAAGGAACCCAAGTTAGCTTACATAGCTCCTATTGATCCCCACAACAACTCTGCAAGGTAAGTTAGCCTGAGAATGACTGGCCCAAAGTCACCCGGTGAGCTTCGTGGCTGAGTGGGGTTCAGGACCCAGGTTGCCCAGTCCAACATCTAACCACACTGGTGCTCTTGAAGTCTAATCTTGTAAATGCTCAAATACGAACCTGGACTACACGGGCTTCCCAAAAGAAGTAAAATTATGACGCGGTGAACCTGAACCATTAATGAAGAACTTGAACATGTCCAAAGTGGAATGTTAACATCATCTTGTAAATAAATTGCTGTGCCACTTGGATTCATGTTATACTTTCCACTTTTGTACTGAGCCAACTGTGATCTCAATAGCATCCTATAACTCCCAGGAGTCTGTCTTGCCTTGCAATACTGAAATGGGAACTCTGTTGCACAAACTCTGGGGGCCCAAGAAACTTCTCCAACAAAAGAAGCAGAGGCAAAGAAGACCTGTGCCAATAGTAGACCCATCACCATTGGAAAATGTTAACTTTGGATGGGCTGACGCCTTTGATGAACGCCTTTGCTGCTCAGGTAGAAAAAGTCAAATCTGCTTCACCATGTGCCACAGTCCCAGCCCTGAGTAAGAGCCTCTGTTTAACCACACCCCAAATGCAAAGAAATGGAAAGAGCTCGGCACGTCACATAGTGTCTGGTGTGGCCCTCTGCGGCTGTACTACAGGATATTTATTTATTTAGAAGCCTCGGGACAGCTCACAATAATAAATAAATAAGAACAGAATAAAACAATATAATATGAGTCGACCTGGCCTGAAAAATAAAATAAATAAATAATATTAACAATTAAAATAGTGTTTGAATAAAAAGGTCTTCGCCTGGCGCCGAAAAACAAATAATGACAGCGGCAGGCGGACCTCTCTGGGGAGCGCATTCCATAGATTGGGTGCCACCGCAGAGAAAGCCCTCCTCCGAGCACTTACCCTCCTAACTTCCTTCATGGAGGGTTCCCGGAGAAGGGCCTCTCCCGCAGATCTCAAGGGGCAGTCGGGCATATATGGATGTAAGCGCTCTTTCAGGTAACCAGGTCCCAAGCCGTTTAGGGCTTTATAGGTCATAACCAACACCTTGAATTGGGCCCGGACTTCAATGGGAAGCCAGTGAAGCTGATGGAGAAAAGCACTCCTTGCCACTGCTGTCATCTGAGCTTCCAGTGGGTCGAGGAGCACTCCCAAGCTGTGGACCTTGTCCCTAAGAGGGAGTGCAACCCCGTTCAGGACTAGGTTCAGGTCCCCTTCCCTGAAGCCCGATCCGCCAATCAACAGGACCTCCATCTTGTCTGGATTGAGCTTCAGTTTATTGGTCCTCATCCAGCCCATTACCTCAGCCAGGCACCGGTTCAGCACAGCCACTGCCTCACCTGGATTGGTAGAGAACGAGAGGTAGAGCTGGGTATCATCAGCGTACTGATGATTCCGCAGCCCACACCTCCTGATGACCTCTCCCAGCGGTTTCATGTAGACGTTAAACAGCAGAGGGGACAAAATGGATCCCTGTGGTACTCCATGGCATAACTGCCATGGCGCAGAGCCATAATCCCCCAGCATCATCTTCTGGAATCGGCCATTGAGATAGGAGTGGAACCACTGCAAAGCAGTGCCTCCGACCCCCAATCCTGCTAGCCTATCCAGAAGGATACCATGGTCGATGGTATCGAAAGCCGCTGAGAGGTCCAGGAGAACCAACAGGGACGCACTCCCCCTGTCTTTCTCCCTGCACAGGTCATTGTACAGGGCGACCAAGGCAGATTCAGTACCATACCCAGGTCTGAAGCCGGACTGAAATGGGTCCAGATAATCAGTTTCCTCCAAGAGTGCTTGGAGTTGTCCCACTGCCACCCACTCCAACACCTTGCCCAGAAACAGGATATTGGCCACCGGTCTATAATTAGTGGCCATCTCTGGATCCAGTGATGCCTTCTTCAGGACCGGTCGGACTACCGCCTCCTTTAAAGGGGCAGGTACCCGGCCCTCCCTCAGAGAGGCGTTAACCACTTCCAAGATCCAGATCCCTATCCTGTGCTTGGCGTTGTTAATTAGCCAAGATGGGCAAGGGTCCAATAGGCAGGTGGTGGGACGTACTCGTCCAAGCACCTTGTCCACATCATCAGGCCGAAGTAACTGAAATTCATCCATCAATTTTGGACCAGACGGCAACATTGGCACCTCCCCAGAAGTCTCTGAATCCACTCCCAGTCCACTCAGTGAAGTATATGGTGGCTGTTAGAAGAGTTGTACAGAACTTGGTTGTTGCTCTGCAGTGCTGCCAAAATCTGCTATGTGTTGGGAACAGAGTTGAGTCGGTGACTCAGTCCCATCGGGAAGGCTGAATCTGGAGTAGGCTGCTGCCAGTGGCTGCAGTCCTCCTGGTGCTGCGAACCTGGAGATTTCAAATTCCCTGGGAGTAAATTGAATGTTGATCTAAGACCTGTGTTTTGTTCTCTGATGCCTACTTGCTGGCTTCCACAGGACAAAGGAGTTTTAGGTTCCAGAACAGATGCAGAAAGAGCCACTGCGTTTTAGCAGTGACTGCTGCAAGCACAAGCATCCCCCGCCTATGGAACTGAAATGGAAGAAGCACCCAGAAGCACCCAGTCCAGTCCAGCCACACCATCATGCTTCAGGGTTGCTAGATTTTATAATGACCCAACATGGACAGCAGGTGAAGGCAGCCTCAGCAATCATGAACATCTGTGGGCTGAGAACCAAGCACAATTCAGCCAGCGAGTAACCTGGGTAATCAGAAGTGGCTTTGTCTAAAGAGTCTGGCTCTAACTGTCAAGGTGCAGCCCAGGAGAAAAATTAGATCTTGCTTAGAGGCTTCATCCTTTACTCCAGTTAGGATTGTTCAAGAGGGCTGAATGTCTGACCAGATGGTCTCCTGGGATGCAGCTCAAAGCAAACTGCTCCCAGCAGCCTAGCATTGCAGGGGGAACAAGAGCCCTTCCCATGATCGATGGGGACACTGTCCTGGCTCAGGCTCTTCTATCCTAGCTATAGGTTTCCTTAAGAGGAGTAGATTTTTCTTTGACGGAGACACCAGTGTCTGCACCTGCAGCAAGCCACCATGTCAAATTCGACAATGCGCAGCATGGAATAATTGTTGCAATGGAGCTGCCATGCTGCTTTATGAGGCAATAACTAGGCTCCCCGGAGAATAAATGGCTTGGTCTTTGGCCTCATCACTTACCAAGTCAAGAAACAGATCATTGCCTGCTTAAAAACAAGCTGACATAGAATGCCATGGCAGGTCTATTACTGCTAATAAATCTAAACAAACACGAATGCAGGAGCATAAGGCAGATGAGACAGACAATGGACTCACGCTGGGATTCTGCTCCTTAGGGAGGGGGGAGGTATTTCTGATCTATTTAGTGGAGTTCGTTTGTCTGGCAAGTCAGCTGCCATCATGAAGTGCGACAAGTGTCCTTGAAATACTGATGGCACAGACGGTGCAGCCATATTGTTGCTGCTGGCTTGTGGGAGCTCCCCGTGGGCCCTCACCTGGGTACGAGTGGCCCATGGCCTCCTGACCTTGGCAGAGTTGCAGCACCGGGAGCTCCCAGGCCATCCACACAAGGCCCTGCTCTTACGTGTCTCACAGCTCATCTGCGCTTGCGGGTTTTGGACACATCACTGCACATGTTCTGAGGAACTGCGCCCCACCCTGCTGCTTCTCGCTTCCTCTCATGAGACAACTGTGGGCACCAGGTGAGGTTAAAGACACTGCGGGACAGCAAGCCCCCCAAAATCTTGGCACTCACAGCAGGAATATCTGGGTGAAATTTCCCGTCCTGCCTTAGGCAGGGGTATGGATGATGTGTACATTACGACTTCTGGTATGTTTTTAAATCCGTATAGATTATTTCTCACTTGAAGGCAGAATTGATTTTCTTGCTGCTAACTCTAATTTTAGGTACCGTGACACTCAGTGCCCTGGTTGGGAGTGCAGCCCTTGAACCCTATTTTAAGACTAGTGATGCGCTGGGTGAACAGAGGGACTCGTGCAACTGTCCCTCTAGCACAGAGGCAGGCAACTTTTAGGGCCATGCAGGGCAATTAGGGAAACTGACTGAGGCACAAAAGACAAGTAGCTTGCCCAGGAGACCTGAGCACAAAGTAGAGCTGGGGTCTGGGCTGAATGGACCAGGCACATTTTCCGCATCCATAGCTCAGCTCCATGGACCCCACTGCACAGAAGCGAACGCCTTTTCTCCTCCCATCTTCCTGCCACACAATTCATTCCTCCCTTTCCCTTTCTCCGCATTCTGCATCGCCAGCCACAGACACACGCTCTCTTCCTCTGGGTGATGCTTAGGGGAGCACCAGGAAGCGACCAGGGCCACACCGCTGCCCGCGGACACCACACGGACACACTAAGCCACGCGGCTTCCCTCAGAGAGGCTGACAAGCCGCCCTAGGGGAGGTTAGAAGCCACTCGAAGTTGCCACGGCTTCTCGCACGGTTTAGAGAGCCATCCATGCCTGGGCGTGTTGCCTGACCCTGAGCGAGAGAGAGAGAGAGTCCGAGTCTCTTGGCCGGAGTGGTGCGGAAGGGCTGCTGCTCCGGCCGAGGATCCCCGACACCTTGCAGCTCCTCCTTCTCGGGCCCTACTCAGGGGCATGGCTGAGGGAGTGCCCACGGGGCTCCGCTCACCCACGAGGCAGCAGCTGTCTGGCCCTTCCCACCTGCCCGCACTCAGCACGTGAAGCTGTGGCCAGATGGGGTTGGGGGGCATTCTGCATGTCAGCCTGTGCCCGCCTCCCCACGGAAGCTGCAATGCCCCCAGTTGAGCGGTGCGGCAGGGCAGGGCAGGGGTGCCTCCCTTCAGCCGCACTGCACCCTTTCCCCAGCCCAAGCGCTTGCTAGTGAGGGAGGCGATTCTGCCTGTCAGTCGTCATCCTGCTCCTCTCAGGGCTGCGGTGCAGCATCCCCCGGGATACTGGCTGACGGAGTGAAGGGGGCAGCCAGTGCCCGAGGAACACTGCTCTGTCCAATTGTTACGGGGGCAGAGCTGGGTCCACAGGCAACTCTAAGCCCAGGATGGCTCCACGCATCAGCAGAACCTGGCTGCTGCCTGCTCCTGCTCTATCCATTCGCTGCCTCGCCCCATGCTGACTACTCCAGCAGGTCACAAATTGGGTCAGGGAGATCAAGTCCTGGCCAGTTTGGAACTGATTCATAAACAATTTCTTGACATGTGAAAACACCTTTTCTGTTTACGCATGTTATCTATTTTTATTTATTAATTAAAAGCTTTTCTATCCCGTCCCCTGCAGAATGTCTTGGGGTGGCTTACAATAGGATTCCATAGGGCTCCATAGGCAAGAAAGATGCAGAACATAGGAGACTCTAAGCGCTTTCTCGCTTTGCTCCCCCACTACTTGGTGCTTTCTGGACTTCTAGTGCTATAAACCAACAGTTATGGTATAGCTAGTCTATCTCTTCTTCCTTAACAGACTTTTTGTGGAAAGAAAAATGATGGAAGAAAAAGTGGGAAAGCACAAGAGTATTACAAGCTGAAGATGACACCATTTGCCTGGACCCTCTGAAATTCCGTGCAGAACACAGGACAAAAACACAACCCAAAGCACCCTCTGTCTCTGTCTCACGGAAACACACACCCCACAAGCTCTTCACCAGAAACTCTTCTCAATGACCATTGTGGATCCACAATAGACAGGTTAGAGCAGAGGTAAAATCAGCTGTCGGCGAAAGTTAGAATGGGGAGCACCCTGCAAGGTGAAAGCATACCTTCTTCTCACTGCTGCTGTCCTCGGTGAGGTTGAACACGGGCAGGGTGCCCGTCACCACCAGGCCCAGACCCTGTCAAGAGCGAGAAGGCACGATAAATACAAGGCACTCTTTATAGGAGGCCAGCCGGTTCAGGAGGCTTGATAGTGCCTCCCATGCATGTCACTGCATCGCTGGAGAAAACCGGAGAAGAAGTCAATCTTTTGGGATGCTGGGCTGGGCTGGGACCCTGGAGGGTGAAATGGTATCAAGCAATCTTCTCTTATGAAGCTGCAGTGTATGGGCCATGCCAGCAAAAGAACATGAAAGCAATAGACCAGCTGTGGGATCTTGCAGAATGGCTTCTTCTCTTACCAAAGCATCCTGATAGACGTTGGTCCACTGAACCTGTTTTGCTTTGTTTCCTGCCAAGACCATGGGTCTTCCAAGGACATCCAGATATTCCTGCAGGGAGAGGAGAGGAAGAAAGACGTATATGTACCTTCACCCTGTAGAGGAAACATGATACATAGCATGCATGCTCTGGCTTTTTCTCTCTGTCAGAGCTCCACTCGAAATAAGGAATATTTCGTCAAGCTAATTCCTAGCCTGGAAAAGCATCAAAGGGTCCACTGGAGGAGAAGAGAAGGAAATGCCTGCTAGTAACAGTTCTGAATGCCAGTGGAGGTGGGAGACCTCTTCTTGTGCTGTGAGAAGCAAGGGGGATGTTTTCGGTGCCCTCAGGCAGAACGCACAGAAAGCATCACAAAAGGATGGAAAAGGAGACTGGACTAGCCAAGACGCTGCCATGATGAGATCGGTGCCCCATATTGTGTTTTATGCCTGGGTGAGTGTATTGCTTACTGTTGCTTGTCAGCCCTGCTTTCCCGTGCCCAGCGCAGCACAAGGACGGCAAGGCAATCTTTGCTGCAAAGAAGGGGATCTTCTGTTTCACAAGGAAAAAAATGCATGGAAAAAATGAATCCTGCCATGGGGCTTGCAAAGTTCTCAACAGACCCAGGGAAGAGGCACATACAGCACACCTTTGCATAACATTTGCTTGTGCTGGTTTATATGGCCAGGAACACATTTAGGGAAGCTTTCAGAGAGCCCCCTGCCCAACTCTGTTCTTGCAGGGAACCAACAAGATCGCACTCTCGTCATCTTTCTCCTGACCAACTGTACAAACTGAAACTCATCCAAGAAAACCTGGGCCATGCTGTGCCCAAACCTGTCCTCAGTCAACTGTTGCAGCACTGGAGCCTGAGTCCCAGCAGCTGAGAGGTTTTTTTTTATCATGGAAGTGCTTAGCAAATATATTACAGTGGGCCTTGGATAGGTCTAGGAGGTCTTTGGGGCCAGCTTGTAATAGACCCTGGATTACCCTAAAAAGCTGCCCTTGGGTGGCAAATAGAAGACTGAACAAAGGCAATGAGATCCTGCCCCAAAGTGTGCCTGATTCTGGGTACATACCAGGGTTTGATTGCCTCCACTAGGAGTTTTTCTTCATCTAAGCTGCCTTCTGCTTTCTTTCTGCACTCTCAGCTCTGAGGAACACCATGGAGCCTTACGAGCTCTGCTACTGTGAGGGCTCTCCAGAGTGGCTGTGCCACCTGTGCGGGTCATCGCCATGTTCCACAGATCAGCCAGGGCTTCCACAGGAGTGCCCGTCACCACCAGCTACAAGTGTCCCTAAAGCCATCTGGAGACTGCCCAGATCCATTCGTCTCTGGGAATGGGCCAACTTAATGGGGCTTCTGCCCTTGTAGAGGTGAAAAACTGCCATCAGTCTAGATCCCAGGAGGTGGTGATCTGACCACATCAAAGGTATGGGTGTCTCAGCTGCCAAACACCAAACCACTTGCTGACCCCGCACGTTGTCAAACAGCATCTATTTAGAGAAGGTAAACTAACTGATATGCCACACAAAGTACTCTACTCGAATCCATCCCTTTCAATTGATTTACTCCCTGCCCTATTAAATTATTCTTCAGATCTTCCTAATCCATGTATTTATCACTCAGTTAATTCAGGATGATCCCAAATTCAATCTCCTTTCCCTTCATTCCTCCCACGCATCTGCTGAAAGCTCAAGAGCCACCTGCCTGCTTCTTTCGCCTGTTATAATTCCCAGCTGATGCTGACTTGTAGCAGTGTAAGACAAAATAAATAAATAAATAAATAAATAAATAAATAAATAAATAAGATCTGTTGCTCATTCAGCTAGGTGCATTATGAAAGACCTCTGGAACTCATCCTACATAGGTCCACCCCGGCAAAGCCTCTGAGATCCAACCAGATCGCTCACACTTCCTGCTCTTCCCAAAAATGAAGTGGCCTTTTCAAATGCTCCATTTGAACACCCTTGCCTTTTGTTTGTTTGTTCACTGTTCAACTGGAACGCCCCAAAAAGCCCAATTAACCTGCTGCTGTTCCTCCAATCCTGTTTCCTCTTATCCCAAGCAAACACACACACACACACACACACACACACACACACACACACACACGAGTGAAACTGGAAGGACAATAGAGAGGCCCAGTCTCTCCTCTGCTCTACAGGCAGACAAGGGCCTGGTGGATTTTGGGTATGAGCCTCTGTTTGAAGAGGGATGGGCCCAATTTGTGAGGCTGGGCTGCTTACTCAAGAGGTGTCTGCGTTCTGAGTTCCATGCTCTGAAATATTCATTCCGCTCACCCAACATTTATCTCTAGATTTACAAGACTAGGTTAAAAACCATCTATTTTCAGCTACTAAAATGTTTCTCAAGTTGGCCAGGGCTAAACTCTTGAAAGTAGAACACTACAAAAAAGAAAATGCCAAATGGACAGGACCGAGCGGCTCATTTCCAGGGAACTTCCTTCTGCATTAACACACACACACTCAGAGTGTGAAGCTCTGTAGCCTGGGAAAAAAAACCTCATATGAAGTTGCAGATGAAAAGAAAGACTTCCCTATAGAACAGCAGACCTGGAGTTGCAGGTCAAAAGTTACTGGATTCCTGAGAGACAGATTCTGTTGTTTTCTTCTGGGAACAAAGGACATAATTGTTGAGATTGGCTTCTGTTCAGAAAATGCAAGTCAGCTGCAAAATTGAGTCCACGAGTTAAATCCTTAAAATGGAAATAAGTCCTGGACACAAAACTCAACTGTCTCCTGGGTCATTAATGGGGACATCTGCTGTATGGAATATCAAATAGAGCACCATCATCCACCCACTTGATAAGGATCTCTGTGCAGACAAGTTCAATCAGCAGAAGAGACGCTGTGCCACAGCTTGTGTGGTCTACTGTTTGGTAAAGTTCATGTAGTACGTCATGATGCAGACAGAAAAAGAAACAGCAAGAGTACAGAGAGAACTAGCCTCTGATGCTGGGACATAAAACATTACAGAGCTCCAAAGTTTCAATGAATCTCCCTTACGGTATCACATAAACCAGTATTATGGCAATACCCAAATTGTGGCAAAGTTATCAGCTTTGGCACCTGTGCAGGCTTCCAAAAGCAACACATATCCTGGCCTCCCCCCACCCTCCGTTTCTTTCATGCATCTCACAAAAAACACTTTAACAACCAAAGCTTTCTCAAATAATCAAGATTCTGGTTGAGCAAGATTGGGCTTCTTCGAAGAAGTTTCAAAAGGCGTGCTAAAACTTGCTGGCCCCTTTCTCAAGAATATGACCCTATTTTTGAAGTACTTTGTATATGCAGAAAAGCGTTGGGACTTTAATATTTGACTCCTCATTTATACTACCAAAGGGGCACTTCAAATATTACAAAAATCCCACCAGGGGAAGCACATGTGTAAATGATACACATGTCCCTATAGGAATTCTCCTGTGTATAGGTTGTGAACAATTTTATTTATTTATTTAATCTCTGTACTGCCCCATAACTCAAACTCTCTGGACAGTTTACAACAATGCATCATAAAAACAAAACAATAAAATACAAACATAAAAACAAAGCAGCATTGAAATAAATTTAAAATAGCTACAATGTACAGAAAAATTGACTCAGTAATTGGAAAAATAAAATCATTTGGGATAGCTTGTCTCCTCTACTCTTTGGGTAGCTGAGTAAAACTTTAAAGGCTTCAGCATAAAACAGCATCTTAGCCTGTTGCTGAAAAGATGACTGGTTTGGCATCTGGCGGGCCTCAGCGGGGAGGCTGTTCCTAGGATGGGGGGCCGCCACCAAGAGAGCCCTCCTCCTTGTTGCAGCTATCCAAGCCCCCCTTGGAGTTGGCATGCAGAGAAGGCCCCAGAAGTTGAGTGTGGTGCCCAAGGGACCACTGCTGGGAGAGGTACTCTAACAGGGAATTGTGTGTGCATAAGTTTCACTGTGTGTGTACATGCTGGAACGCAACAGCTCACTCTGGCTTTTTCCATGCCTGTATTCTCAAGGAAGTACACCCATGTGCAGTCCTACAGGAAAACTAATCCCCACGTAGAGGTGTAGGCATTTTGTTATACTTCGAACAGTCCTCATAATCTGCACGCCAGCATTACATGGATCCACGCAAGGACAGAGCTACGCGACGGTCAAGCTCCCCTTGCTTCACCTCCTAATACCCAGAGCCTCGGCAGAAAGACTAAAATCACACTGCAAAAAATAAAAACAGATTAAAGTCGCGCGGGGAGGGGAGACGGGGGCCCTGAACTGAAGTGCTCTGGAACCAGCCCCCCTGGTCCCCGACCCGCTCCGGGGGGCTCCGCCGGCAACGGGGAGGGCTGCGGGCGGTGGGGGAACGAATGGCAACACCGATTCCGCGGCCGAGAGCCGCCTCTGTTGCCTGTTTGTCTTTTGTAAGCATGTTAAGGGATCGTATGTGCCAATCAGTCCTCACTGTCAGCATGAAGGAAACACGCCCTTTCCGCAAATCGATTAACCCTCCCTGCAGGTTGCCATGGTGAAATAAGGCAGGCACGAGCTCCAGCCCCGGGGCGCTCGGGGAATGTATTATTCCGGACGATTTGATACAGGAGAGGGAGAGCGAGCGAGCGAGAGATGTAAAGGGAAAACAGCATCGCAAAGGGAGCGGGGAGACGCGCAGAGTGAAGAGAGAGAAGAGGAAAGGAAAAGCCCGATAGGGACAGAATTATTGAAATTCAGTGCAGAAGGACGAGTCGGTGCGAAGGGAAACTTGCGTCACGTCCTGCAGATCACGAACTTGTGGCTCGGGTTTTCATGGTTCTGGGAAAACTATCTTCCCGCCGCCACTATTCTGTACCCTTGCAACGAAGGCATCGCCTGCTATTGTTGCTGTTCGAGAGGAGACGCAGCACTGTCCCCCGCAGGGCGGCCGCCACAGCCAGCGACGCAGAAAAATTCCTGCAGAGGCCCTTCTTGGGCAGGGAAGCTGCCCTTCGGCCGTGTCGGCCGATATTCCGACGAGCCCAGAATGGTCAATGCGGAACTGCAGTGGCTCTCCGGGGCTTTAGGACTGCTGCTGCCATTGGCC